GCCTGCTTCCAACGTGACACGTGACATTATCCTAAGACTGCTCTTTGACTGGAAACGGTCGTTAAACTATCGACTGCAAGAGATCTGTATCTCTGGACCCGTCGCCAGCTCATTCTGGGTCGGTATTGACATTCGAGGTCGGACTCAAGTTTAAAGCAAGCCTCTCTGACACCCTCTGCGCCCCTGATGAGGTTAAAGAAGACAAGGAGATTCGGACCTCTGAATTCAAATAAGCGGGATCCTTGTACCTAGCGAGTAAAAGAACAGGGCGCCCTGTACGCATATATACAACGACTCTGTAATCAAGGCGGAGTATAAATATAGGGTCGGCATACTCTAGAGCTGTCAGACAGCTGCCCTGTTCAAAAAGGCCACTAACCTTTTCCCCACCTTGACAATCACGACACCCTTTAAGGTCCTGTCGCCTTTCCTCTTTTAACTTACGTAATACTCTATTAGAGCTAGGCCACACATTAATAATGACAACACTAACTAGTGACTAGTCACTAATACGCGAGAACATAAGAGCAGCCCCCTAGACCGCATTTGATACAGCTGCCTTCAACTTATCTAGCCCGGCCAGGACTGACAACCCTGTTCCCTCTGCTGAGAATAATTACCTTAATCCTATTTCACCTTTCAACCTTTCTAATCCTCTTGCTAGAGTAGCTTAGCTAAGAGTAATTATATTAGCTAATCTTTAATCTAGTATTAACATTATTCTAGCTAAGCTATAGTAATAGGGAGTGCAAGAATAAGCTCTGATTAACTAGATAGCTGAGAGGGTCGCCTTAAAGCTAGCGAAAACAGCAAATACTAACGCTAACTTAGTCTACTAAATTTCAGAGTACGCTACGTAGCTTGCTGCTGCTAGTCAAGAATTAGAGAAACAAAATACAGCCCTGCAAGAACGGAATATGGCCCTGTAAGAAAAAATTGCTGACCTAACAGAGCAGGTGACTTGTCATCAGGCGTTTACACGTTAGGCGCCTGCCTTCTTAATATCTTTTATATATTCCAACCTATATACAGAGACAGTGGCCAGCTCGTGATAGAAGGCCATTCCTACAGATCCTTTTCCAAAGGTAAAGCGTACCTTAAACCCGTTATTAACCTTCTTCTTATTGCCTCTTCTAAGGCCTATTCTGATATAAGCGTAGGATTATATCGCCCTTGTAAGACCGGCTCTTATAAGCCAGGAAGCAAGAGAGCTAGCACAGAGCCCCCTAGATCAACTTTTCTCTTGCCTCTTGCTATTAAGGATCTCTGCAAGAGTACTTCTAAGACCTTTAGTGGCCTAAGCGGCCCTAAGGATATCCTAGTCAAAGATTAGATTTATAAGACTCGCTCTCTTATTAGCCCTTTCCCTCAGGATGACTCACAGATTATAAGATTTGTTACCAGCCTTGTGTAAAGGGCCCTGCTAGAGACTACATCTGCGAGCGCCTTAAACTAACGTCACTATACCCTATTCGGACGCCTGAGGAGATCTTCGCTATTATAAAGCAAGCCTTTAGAGAAAGCAACATGCTACGCTAATAACGTGCTAAGACAGCCTACGCCGCCCTACGTTAGGGTGACCGACCGTTTGACGCTTTCTGGGCTGACTTCACGTGTCGCGAATGCACCGCTCCCAACACATCCCGTCGAACACATATAGACGTAACTTGGAATCATTATTCTATGTTCTGCTTTGGATCTGCGCGCGTCGAGTATAGAAAAGACAGTTTTATGACACATACAGATCTAGACTTGTTGTGCTTGATGTTTGTGACCGAAGAGTCGTCTCTACCGCTCTGATGGCTTTATTTCTTGATTTTATGCGGAGGGCTTCTTGTGCCATCACGTGTCTGGATCGCAGTGCTAAGATCTGAGATGTACCAGCTTTGACTTGCGTACCTCGGTGCAAATCCAGCGCCTGGGGAGAAGTATGATTGCCCGTAGCTCCCACCGCAGTATCCCCAGCCAATCAGATCAGCTATAGGCTTGGCCTGTATGAATCTCTCCAATAAGGAAAACAGCTTAGGAGCTTTCATCTTTTTCTTTTTCTTTTCCTCTTCCTCTTCCTCTTCCTCTTCCTCAACCTGGGAGGCCAATATGCCCCAATCTCTACGGCTTACACGCTGCCGTATGCCAGCCAAACTGTATTGTGAACGTAGTGTCCCAGTTGGCTTCCCAACAGGACGATTCTCTCGGGCCATCACACCCCTATCCTCTCCTTTAATCACATCTGCTCCAATATCACATCCACACGTCCCCCCTTCCTCCTGCTCCCTCTTTTCTACCACCTCACACCACCTCAAGAAGGGAGCCTCCAAAGCCAGAAAATCCATCTCCGCCTCCAACACCGAGCACATTCCAGACAACAAGGCCCAAACCAACCGTGACCGCGAGATCGACCCCTACGATTTTTCTGACCTAGAAGCCAAGATTAAACATCAAGCCGACTGGCTGCGTGATAGCCTGCAGAAGCTTCGCACGGGAGGCCGTCTGAGCGCCGAGACAATTGAGGGTTTGCAGGTCGAGATCAAGCATGGACTCCAAGATAAGAAGGTGGAGAAGTTGAGGTTGGGGGATCTAGCTACGGTGGTGCCTAGGGGAGGCAGGTTGATGGGCGTTATGGTTAATGAGGAGGCTGTACGTCTGTTACAATTCCCTGTCTTTTTGGGGGCTATTGTATGGCTCGTGTGCTTAAAACTGATTTTATTCCTTATACTAGCACATTAAACCCATAACCACATCAATTCAATCCTCGCCCTACTCGCTGACACCACAACCCGACCCTCAAAACCCACTGCAGCTCAACGTCCCTATCCCACCTCCCACAGCAGAATCACGCGCGCAATCTCTTGCGGACGCGAAAAGAGAGTTCGAAAAAGCTGGGTTGGGGATCCGCGAAGCGAGGGGCCAATGGCAAAAGTGGTACCAGAAGGCTAAGAAAGAAGCTGGTTATCAGGGATGAGTTGGAGAAGGCGCATAAGAGGATGGAAGGCGTGGTGGAGAAGGGGCATAAGAGCTTGAAGGAGATATTTGATCAGGCGGTCAAGAACATGGAGAGGTAGAGCAGGAGGTTGATCTGAATGTGCTCTGAGGTTCCGCCTCCAAGATAAAAGAAACGCCTGTGGATGTGTTTGAATCTGTCAAGCGGAAAAAGTGGTACATGATCACACATCGCCTTCACTAAGCGATGGCAATCATGGTATAATCCAACTGGTAAAAGCTCATACAGACCTGAAAGGAGGCCTGGCACCGTTCAAGGCCCGATCATCGATCAGACAAGGCAGCGCAAAATGTACATCAAAGTACAAGTCATACTTCACGAGCGCTACGCGCACCCCTTCCTCCTCGACCACGCACCACATCTTCTTGCTATTGTTTTCATGCTTTCCAACATTTATTTCATACTTGAAGCCACCAAGCCGAATGCAAGGGAAGGAGTCATATATCAGAAATATCAGCATCTTTCCCCTCCCCTTTTCCCGAAGTTGAGAAGAACATCGTGCATGGAAGTGTGTAAAAGATGTCAGACAGAGTCATCACTTTGTCCACTATGTCCCAAGAACTGGTGTCGTCAATCTTTGACTATTGTCCGTTCTCATCCTGCCTTCCTTCGTTCATTGTTTCATCATCCTCTTCTCTTCTGCTCCTCTTGCTCTCTGTGCCTCGACTGCGCAATATTCATCGCTGTTCCTCTTCCACAGTTGCCATTTATCTACCGTTCGCGATGACCCCGGGCAGGAAAGCAGGAAGCAGGAAAGCATACACACACTACATCCGGGCGGGCAGACATGCGGCGACTCCCGCACACACCCCATCCAGACCAAAGAGATTCCATCCCACTCCATTCCACCAGCAGCCGGATAGCCGGGCAGCCGGGCAGTCCGCAAACCAGCAGCTGAAACCAAAACAGCCATCAAGCGCATACTCGAAAACCTCACCCAATTTTCATCCCCCAACTCCACATGCAAAGATCTCCCCCTTTTACAGTATATCTCTCAACGGCACAGGAAACAGCCATCAATCTCCTCATCATCTGAACGACTGATTCGCTATCCTACATCCCAATTCTTCCCCTCTTTTCCCTTCACCCTCCTGACGGGGTGAAGGGGCTTCCACCAGCCCATCTATACAAAATGTACAAATGGTGAGGACAGAATGGCACAGAAGAAAACCGAACCCAGTGTCTATGTCTCTAAGCTGACAGAAGATACTTCTTTTTCTTACTTCCGTAAGATCGGGCGTATGTGCGTAACTCGCACATGCATGCATCGCATTGTTACTGTGCCCGAGACCTTTCAATCTCTTCGCTCTTGGGTATAGCTATAATACCGCACTCATTCTTGATGGGGGGTTTGGTTTTATAGAGAGGGAGAGAGGGAGATGGCGGGGAGAGACGGGAAGGGAAGAGGGGGGAGAAGGCAGTGGATTGAACTGAGAGCGAGGAGCCCAAAGTCCACGTGCAGGGTCGGACTGTAGGCTGTGGGCTGTAGCGGGTAAGAGAAGCTCACACGGAAGGGATTTAGGGGCATGGCACAGCGCTGATAAAGGATGTTGAGAAGCTCGTGATTCTGTGGTTGTACCGAATCTCGCCATGATGTTGAGCGATTACACGATCTACGGACTGAATGCTCGATCAAGAGAGGCATGTCGTCAGATGACGATAATCTACAATTCAAGCTTCTCCCTGCACCCTGTCCCATCACATTCAAGCCCCTTCCTCAGCCTGAGCCTGAGCCCTAACACGCCGCTGCGGCGTCGTCGCCAACAATCCCTGAATGGTGGACATCAGCTGCTCCTGCTCCTTGGCGTGATATGTCTCATTGTTGCCCAAGATCCTCATCACGTCGCCCAGGAACGCAGGCCTCTTTCTTCCTCCCTCCTTCCCTTTCTGCGTCTGCGTCTGCATATCCTTCCACCCCGCCTCAAGAGGAGGATACTCGCCGCGAACAAACTCCCGAGCCAGCACCACGCGATCCTTCTCCCTGATGCCCTCAAACGAGCTCTCCTTCGGTGTGACCTCCTTGCCCGTCCGTTCTGTGATGCGATCCGCCGTCCTCTCGGCCAGCCCGCGCGCGATCTGCAGAACCTGCTCCTTCTCCTGCGCCGACTCAAAGTGAACCAACTCCTGTCCGCGGTGCAACCTCTCCGCCAAGTCCTCCGGCGTCTCGTAGTCATGTGGGATCCTCCTCGCCGCCCAACGCAGCTTCTCCTCCACGCCCATGATCATGCCGGTTCTGCCCGTGGGGATACTCGGCCAGTCGACCCGGAGATCCTCCAGACTCAACTCCTCGGGAACATGATCCACCCACTCGCGGGGAGGCGGGCCCAGGTGAGCCTCGATCTTGGCGGCTGCATCCTTCAGGTGCTCGCTGTCCCCACCCTCCTCCATGTCTGCGTTGTTGTCACGTCGGCGCCGTGTTCTGTCTCTTCCACCGCGGCCTCTCCCCCCCGTGGCTCGTAGCATCCGCCCCGCCCCCCCAGCCCCACCGCCGCGCGCGCACGGCGGGACTGAGTTCGAACCGAGGACCCTGCGGTTGAGAGGTGCCGAGGGCGCGGGCGTCCAAGCTGCCGTTGCGGCGGGGGACGGACCTGATGAGCTAGGGGGAGCGAAGTCGCGGTATTGCCGGGTTATTCGGACTGGGGTGTCGACGGCATCCGCGGTGATGAACTTGGGTAGGTTTTGTTGTTGGTTGTGCACGACGCTGCTGGAGCCGAGGCCCATGGAGGTATCGGATTGTTGGGGTTGGGAGGGCGAGCGGTTGGTTGGCTGGTTGTTTGCTTTGTCTATGTCTGTTCGGGGAGAGGAAGAAGAATTAGTACTGCTTGTAGGTGAAGGGGGGAAGGTCTGTGGGGTAGATGGTCGCTGACCTTCATCTCGTCGCAGTTGCATTGAGGATGAGTATTCTCGTGACGATGCTGATGATGATGCTGCAATGCTGCGCTGAACTAGGGGGAGATCATGTTGCATTGCCCTGAGAGCGTTGCCTGCTTGCCATCTGTACATGGTGAAGGCTGTGATGGGAAGTGATGCTGTGATTCAAGCTGTATAAAATGTCATCAATTGTCATGCATGGTGGACAAGAAAATGGTGCGCATACTATTGTTAGGAGGAGGCCAGGGCCTTTTGTCGAAATTAGCTACTAATACTCCTCAACATCAACAATACTTATGTCTCCTACTGTGATACTGGCGCTCTAGAGGACGCCAGGTTATTATCATGAAACTCGCGACTACTCCTCCATGTTAACAATACTTATGTCAATACTGGTGCCTTGGAGGACGCCGGTCCGTTATAACAAAACCACTACTAATCCACAATAAAAAATGCTTATGCTAATATGGTGTTTTGGAGGGCACCAGGCCCTTGTAATGAAATACAGCTCTGTCTTGGCCTGCCAAGCCTACTAAGCCCCTTTGGTGCATCTTTCCCGGAAAAGCTTAACGCCGCCTTCCTGAACCGAATATTATCCGACTGGGCACGCTAGCCTAATAAGGACTACGGCTAACGCCTAACGATTAAGCATCATCATGCATTGCTTATATTATTTCTTGTCTCGCTCGCAGTTGTTCTTCACTCTACCCTTAGTCTATGCGCATCATTTGCTCTCTTCAGCTTCAGCTTCACATACATTCTCCATCTATCTTTATCTCGTCATCTAAGGAAAGCGGTCACGATCACCGCGTCACAGCCTACGCACCCGATTTCCCCTCCCTCAAGCCATCGCATTCAACCCTCACAAACCTTTCCCCCCATCTGAATACCGATCTCCCCAACCATGATCCGCCGTCCTCCCACCTCGATCGGTCTCACAGCCGATGACCTCGCCATCTTTGAGAAACAATACGCGTCCGGCGAGATCTATGCGCACCACCACGACGACAACGATACGAACCACAAGGCTGGGAAGAAGCGGCGCGCACAAGGCCAGGATGGTGAGGCTCCGGGCGAACCGAATGAGGGAGGGATTCAGGCGGCTGGAGATGCGAATGCTGCAGAGGGACGCGAGGGTGATGGAGAGCTGACACAAGCGCAGCGGGCCGAGGAGGAGAGGAAGGCGAGAACCCGAGAGCAGAGAATCCTAGGGAGCACGGGCGATGTTGCTGCGGCGGCGGCGGATGAGGGTGGTGAGACTATGAACACAGGTGATGAGGGTGGGGTGGCAGGCAGTGGAGCTCAGACTGTGCTGCAGCAGCAACAACAGCAACAACCACAGCGCTGATCTACACTGGCAAAATTCTAACATACTCACAATCTGAAGAAGAAGAAGAAGAGATGTGGATTGGAAAGATATCTGAATATCAAAGCCGGTCACCATCCACTATGCTTCAAGATTGTTGTCTTCTCGGATGCAACGACACAGAAAGGTCTAGCGAACATCTAGATTGAAGTTGGATGAAGCAAGCTCGCAATCGAGTGGCGATGACATTGGAACATTACATGCAGGAGTGGAGGGAGGACTGCATTGCGCATAGCCAAAGGCTGAGACACATCATGCTTTCAGACACCTGTTCACCATGATGTGCTCTTTTCACACCTAGTCAGTCACGATTACATCCCTAAACTCTTCGACCTCTCAGACCCTACTTTCACGAGCATTATCGACAACTTAGATTCACGCCCATATTCAATACAAGATCCAAGATGAAATCAAACCTCTTTGATGCGAAAAAATTTCAAACAATTTGGGGGTATTTGGATAGTGGAAAAGACTGCTGAACGGTCAGCATATCTCAGGCCGCCACCGCCACCACCACCAACCCAAGTCAGCTCCAAAGGGGCATGCTGCTGCACCCAAAAATCTGCTCCCGATGCTCCAGTGGGCCAGCAGATAGAATGCCAGAAGTTCTTTGACAATAACATTTCCCTCCGTGATCTTTCATGCTTATCCCGAAAACAGTGGCACTTTTGTTACAGTACAAATGAATGAGTTTTTAGAAGAACGATGATGTGTGTGATCACCTCATCCGCTTCTGAGGCTGATTGTCCGCCTCAGCATAGATCCACCTCCTCTTGAGCCCATTAGGATCATATACGCTGGCGACGCTCTGCTGCCATTCTTTAGATGAGACGAATGTGCCTTGATAGCTGGATTGTTGTGCTTGAGACGTTTGCTCGTGCGGCTGTGGCTGTGGCTGTGGCTGTGGCTGCGGAGTAGAGGTGACCCTTCCTCCAGCAGAGCTTGCATACTGGGTCATGTAGGGGTTGGGGTTGGACGGCGAAATCGGTGTATGGGTCTGTTGTTGTACCACTGGGAAGTTCATGGCTGGAGAAGTTGTGGTCGCGCTGGGGGTTGGTGGTGGTGCCAATGCTGCTTGTGGAATGGAAAATGCCGTGTTCCAATGATGGAAGATTGGGGTTGGATTCCATTGCGCCTCATCAACACTGGGCATTGAAGGTTGAGGATATGCTTGCACGTAGTTGGTCATGGAATGGCTCGCGCTGTTTGGCGGCGGACCAGTGCCTCGATTTGGCTGCGAAAGAGGTGAGTCAACCCCAGACTCTCCCGAGATGGCCGAGACGGGAGGAGTCATGGTTTGTAGAGGATACGGTTGAGTTCTCTGCTGGCGGTAGGACTCGTTATCCGACATTTGAAGTCTCGGATAATGTGATTCCATGGGTGGACTTGGCTGGTAAGAATCCGAAGGTGTGCCGTATGGAAAGGACATCTTCAGTTCAAATGGCTTGTCCTTGTCTGCAGAAAATGCTTCACGCAAGGCGTCGATCTGAGCTTTCATATCCTGCATAGGGCATGCATTTATGCACTCTTCTAGAATACGCATATGACGAGTGAAAAAGTCTCGAGCGTCGCCATACAGCTCCGGATCAGGTGAAGTGATGGCAACCTGGAGAAGTCAATCAAGAGAGTGTGTGATATGATAGGAGCATGCTTACCAAATGCAGCATGACACAGGTGAGCACTGCATAGATAGTAAAGTTGATACCTCGCACCATGCACAGTAAACCTTGCAGGCCAAATTGGGAGATGATAGCTTCTTGCAAGCGGCAGAGAACTTTCGCTGAAGTATAACAGGATGTCATATGCTGCTTCCATGCACTATCGGCGGCAAACGACTTGGACGCCATCAATTGAGGCCTTTGCAGCATGATGCGTCCTAACTGATAGTGAACGTGCATGTTCCCAATGAAGTGAGAGGGCAACCATGGTGGTGTGCCGTCAGTAGAAAGATTCAACTGTAGGTCTTCAGGCAGAGCGTCAGGCCAACTGTCAAAAGCTTGGTTGTGTGCCACGAATTTAGGATGACCTCCCCAACCTTCCGTCTTCCTCAATTCATGATACGTTTCCGCAATCGTACGGATGTTACGTACGTTCCGCACGAAATAGGCGAATTGACGAGAAATGGTGGCCTCGAAAGGATCAATCTCGGAGCATGGTGGCCTTGTATCGATATCAACAGTCTCAATATCAACCTCGTAATCATAGCGGCCTGGGCTTGTCAGAGGAAATTCCCGTTACCGTGGTTAAATGCTTACCCTGTGGTCCGCCAATGACCGTCTCACAGACCATCAACGTCTGCCACACTCTAGTCTTAGCCAAACACTCAACGGGGCTCGACCCACAAGTCTTTTCATTCTTATGCACCTCATGGTGTTCGTGCAGCTCCAGATCTTTGGCCATTGCAGCAATGGTCTTACACGTCATCCAGGAACGGTAATAGTATCCCCTTTTTGGGGCGGCCTCTCGAGCTTTGAGTAAAAGCAAAAGAGCTTGAATCGTGCTCAGCCGAGGGGTGTCCAAGAAGGAGTCCTCCTGCTCTATAGCTAGTCAGCCATAGCGCGATACCAGGGAGAAAATACTCACTGTTGGCCAACGCTAGCCATTGCGCTCCCTGGGCAGGGTCATCAGATAGGCGTCCAGCACATGCCAACATAGCCTCCAACAATAATGGAGATATCGAGCCACGGTCGGTCTGCCACTGCTGGTAGAAATGACTCCTATTGACAACAGGTACGTATGGATGCACGTCGGAGAAGAAGATTTTAAAGTAGTGTTCAGCTTCCTCTTCGGATGGCATAAGTGCTGGAGGTATACGGATCTGAGATCCATATCTGGTGTCTAAAGGCGGGAGCTCGATTTCTTTGTCACGCACAGGCGCTGCGGGTTCGGCAACATTTCTGCTTGGTCTTCGCAAATAGGGAGCTTTAGCAAAATTTAGCATTCGGCCTCAGCAGTAAGATTCCTGGACTACCCACCAGTGCCACTCTCGTCAATCTTCAGTTCTCCAAGTGCTTCGCTCAAACCCTCTGCGGTGGAAGAGTCCTGTTCCGACGGCTCACTGATACTACGTGTGATTGTTGCCATTGCTGGAGGGTAAAACGCTTGGGAGTCAGCGGTCGCGTTGACACCTGCAGGATTTGACGGCGGATAGAGCCCATCATAGGAACGTGGTTGTGTGTCTGAAGAGAAAAACTGGGGGATTGCGGAATATGGTGCGAGAGCAGGTTGGTAGACATGACGACTATTGTCGAATTGAGGGTATGACGTCTTACTGGTGTAGTCCAATGCTGGCTTTGTATTCTGAATGGGGGTCGAATCACTGGGGTTGACGAAGTGATAGCTCGAATCCTCCTGAGAGTCTACCACATGATCTGCTCCGGAGATATCTTGATCGATCATTGTCGGCGGGACACACTGCAATTTCAAACGGTTGCATGCAGAGCACGGCCACGTGTTGGTCGTTACCGCATCGCACTTGATCTTTCGACGTCGGCAACCTTCACAGGCTCTCATCACTGGCTGAGGTCAGACATGCAGAAATTTATGTACGTGTCGAGCGACGGTCTTACCCTTTAGGCGCTTGTGACGGTTATGTTCGTCCACAAATACGTAGTCTACCCAAGCAGTGAGCATCATGTTCGCTATCTGCGCCAGCACCAGGGACCATACTTCTCTGCCCCGGGACATTGATCTGCCCAAACGAAAAAGCCTGCATATTGAAGATTCGCTCTAAGCAGCTACCGCCAGAGTACAGAGTGACACTTCCGCCAGCGCTGCGCTCCAGCAGCATACGTGATATTTCAACGCCAATTGTGCAGAGAGACCCTATTGATGCTTCTGGATACTCGTAGACATTGGAGTTGAACGCAAACAGGACCGAATTGGCAAGCGCAGGGAATTATGGGCAGACCAGAAGCTTTCCAGGTTCCCCAGAGAGACTATCGCCTGCTTCCCCTGTCTAATCTTCGCAGCGGATAAACCTCCTTTCACGTGAAAGTGGATGCGTAGGATCGAGTCGCCCAAAACAGTAAGTCGTGACAGGAAATGGCCAGAACACGAGACAATAGAGGATGTGGAGGCGTGTCGTACAAAGAATCCTAAGAATAAATCGTGTGTGCAGGCTGATGGCTACCGTTGGGTCATATATTGGAAACAACGATTTTCAAAGGTCATTCCGGAGCCTGTTGTTGGACGAATGATTGTGATAATGCTACCAAGACCCGCCGGTTCGTTGATTCACGCCCATGAACGCCCCTCATTTCCAGCTTGATCAAGCCCACGTACAGAGATGATAGACGTCATGCAGACGTTTTCTTTTCAAGAATGTAGAGGCTGAGCCAGAGAAATAGCTGGGATCCAAGCCAACAATGGCTTTGCTCTGCGATACTGCAAGGGCGTTCAAACGGCTAGAAATGCGCCGCTGGGCGAAGGGTTAGTGAGATCCTGCGCAACGGCTACGTACAACCGAGGATGTTCTGGAAGAGTANNGGGGGGGGGGTGACTGAGCCAAAGGGACAGGATGTGACCCTTGGACTCCATGCGCCAACTTGGATCACAAAATCTTCCCTGCGCCTCGTAAATTCACAGAAAAGCAATGCAGCCTTCTTTCTCCACATTGTGTTGCCTTCCCAAAACTACCCTCCCAGATCATGTTTGTGCATGGGTACGCCACTTGGCTTGTCAACTCGAATCGTCAGGTGGGGCAAAGTGATTGCGCATACACCAACGGCTCTACTCGCAGTTACCGCCTCTCCCCTCATGCGCACGAGAGTCTTTTCAATCAAGGGCGGCGCCAAATGGTACTCGTATGCCAGATCTGCCACTGGCACAGATGACCCACTGCACAGTACCGTAGCATCCGCAATCTAAAGCGCTTATCACCATTGGGTGATGCGATAGAAATGCATGCTGACTAGGGGCCCCATGTCCGCCCTAACTTGAAGGTTGATTGGCTCCTTCTCAGGTCAGTGGAATGAATTTCGTCCGGAGGCAATCGACGTCGACCTCTAACTTTGCTTGCGGTGATCCATACAGCTTCAGAAAATATCGTTGACTGTGTCAGGAAAACCACTTTGGATTCCGTAGGCAACAACGCATACGTACACTTGGGTATCTATTCCTGTGGACAGCTACATCTTTCGACCTTTGCAAGCCAGATTTGCTAAGAGGTCTAGTATCCAAGGGTGAAACTCTAGCTGGTGATGTGACAGCTGGCGGGAATAGGGCGTTGCGGCGTTAAAGGAGCCAGAGGCGTCAGGACTTTGTTGGTGGTAAACCCCTTCGTTATTGGCTGTATCTCTGCATCTTGAACATCGCAGTACGTAGTCATACACGGGTCAAGTCTGGAGTGATCGACGATGTGTCCATTGGCATGACCCCCACTAAGTTAGGTTCTAGTGGAACTTTTCCCGACAAGGGGCCCAAGGGAGACGGGTTGGGATCCTTAATTGTGCTCCGTGATCCCTATACACCAGTAAGAAGATACACCACAACATACGATCCTTTATTTGACGGGACCTTAATCGGGACAGCTTTGAGCATTGACGAGTCGATCAGCCATGGAAATTGCTTGAATGGTGGTCGAAATTGAAGAGTCAAGACATGGGCCCAGTTGTCCACAAAGAATGACAACGACAGGGGCTTGAGAGTAAGTTAGATCAATAAATCCTGCTTTAAGCAGGATACACCTACGGTCTTGGTTTGATAGTTCATTAGTCCTGTGCCTATGATGAGGTCTGCTCAGTGCGCAAGGTACGAGGTTGAGGTTATCAGCCCGGCGAAAACGGTTCCAACCCAGTGTATCATATGAAAGCTAACAGACTTGATTCGGCTCCAGCTACGAAATTAGACCCCTTTTGGGAAGCAGCGTTGTAACCTCAGTGCGATTACTCCGTATTCAAGTCTCAAAGCCGGGGGCTTGCGCCTTTCCACATTTCTTTTCCCGGTTTCCTACGCTGGGGAGATTACGGATTGGTTGCTTGTTGGGAAACTATCACCGCCATAGTACGTAGTATGTTTCCAGTCGAGAGCAATAATCTCCCTATCACGAATCACGAGCTGCTCCAAGGAAGTGCGACCGATAGCGAGGTGGACCTTCTCCTTTTTCTTCTATCTATAATCTGGCTGATTATAGAAACGATTGCTGCGGCCTCGGGATTCGTTCCGGATTGCCCTGTGCTAAGTAGGGAGGGATGGTCCTGCATTGTTGGCGAATGATGTTATTCGCGCCTTTGTGTTGCAGCTGCAACCGACAGGCAGGCATGCGCTTACAGGCATGCGCTTACGTAGTATGCAAAGATAGGAGTTTCTAGAAGCATTGTTCCCGAGGGAAACATGCGAGCAGGAATTTATTAAACTTTGTCCTTGTGATGAGCAAAAGAAAATCCTCGCATGGGGTCGTGATCTTCAGGTCCAGGTCCAGGTCCAGGTCAAGGTCAAGGTCAAGGGACCTCCGGACCCTCTTGCCATACACACACACAGGCCATTTCCAGTTATGCAGGATAAGAAGAAGAATAAATACCTTAAAATTACTAGCGTTCGGTTGTGGTATGACAGAGGGGAATGCTAATGCACTATTACTCGCAAAGATGACAAGTGCATATCCCATATCCTTGACAGTGACAATCAACTCCATAGCCAAGAAAAAGCAGCAACAGCAGAGGAATAACAATGACATGACGCCAACAGCGTACAGGGACAAGCGACAGCAAGGGCTAAGCAGCAGCAACATCTGTAGCTGTCGTGATTGATGGTCTGTTGTGGTCCTGGACAGTGGTATATCACCATCTGGTGTCACTTGTGAGAGGTTCAAAATTAAGTAGCCGAGCCCCCACTTTGCCACTTTCTCTTTCTCTTTCTCTTTCTTTTTCTCGGTCTCGGTAGATCTATCATCTCGCTGGTGCGGCCTACGTACTACTACGAACACTCATCTTATAGTTAGTCGTCGTCTTCAAAAGTTGGTGCTTTCAACCGACTTCATCACTTGGTCAAATCATCATGGCAGACCCTCAGAACGCCAACCCTACCATCTTGAATGCCTCTGACCTCCCCACAAGAAGGCGACGAGCATCTTCGGACAAGACCGCCCAGAATGGTCCAGGCATTTTCTCCTATCCGTCACCAGCCTACTCCAATGATCCTTTTTCACAAGCAACAAACTCCAAAGCCGAGTCTGACAGTGACTCCGACTCCATTGTTGAGCCCATCGACGAACAAGAAATCTACGATCTGATCTCCACCATATCCGATCCAGAACATCCATTGTCGCTGGGCTCCCTGGCAGTCGTCTCATTGCCAGACATCTCCATCAAGCCCACTATACCATCAAGACCTCAATCGACACTTCAGACCGTCACCGTCCTCGTCACACCCACCATCACACATTGCAGTCTCGCCACCGTCATCGGGCTGGGTGTTCGCGTGCGGCTAGAGCAATCTTTGCCGGCTCGATTCAGGGTTGATGTCAGGATCAAGGAAGGCACGCATAGCACGGCCGAGGAAGTGAACAAGCAGCTTGCGGATAAGGAGCGCGTTGCTGCAGCCATGGAAAATGGCACTCTGATGGGTGTGGTGAAGAAAATGCTCGAGACTTGTCAATGAATGTCGACCCACATCTCAAAGTTTATAATGAACGAGAAGCCATCAGCTGGAGAACAGGAGCCTGCGCTTCAGCTGCAAGCCCACTATTACAAAACTCGCTCGGGTGCACAGAGCCTGCACTCTACCCGTGAACGAGTCCGGCATACATACGCTACTCAGGTGTGCAATTTAACAGCCTTACCGTACCAGAAATGATGACTGCCTCGTTAGCTGTCGAAACCCTCCCGGCACCATACAGATACGGATTGCCACCGCTCTTGGAAGCGTTCAGATAGGACAAGGATATCAGCGTATCTCTTTAACACCCTCCGAACGAAGATTGCATATCAACGCACAGCCAGACCAGCATGAGGCCATCACATCACTAAGACAGTGCAAGCGAGGACGCGATAGATGAAGCCACCTAGGGTCCCTGTTAAGGCGCGCAGATCAGATCTGAAGCACCAACCTATTTCCTCGCAAAACCAATACAGCGTCCAGGGAGCCATGGTGAGACAAGAGCGCGTATCTATGCAGCCACGAAACGAAATTCTGGGCTGGGGGCCTCAGTCGTACTGGGACCACGCGAAAGGACAGTAGCAGGCATGCAGAGTCATGATAGATGTTAGAGCTTAGAAGAAGAGGGTGGGAAGCCGCATTCTCCCAGTTCTATTATTCATGATAAGACGACATATTTTGCGTCTCATCAGTTCCCGCTCCATGTGGAGGTCATGCATCCTCACTGGGTACTGAACATCACTTTCAAACGTGCAACACCTTGAAAAATCGTCTCCGATATTCCTCTACTTCTTCTCTTCTCTGGTCCCTCATTCGCATTGACCCCCATCAATTCGAACCAACCGTCCCATTCTACACCACACCTTCACTCTCCCAACACCCCACTCTCCCTCAAACCCCTCCAAAGCTCAGGCTCCAAAAACTTCCCCACCCCCACGTCCTCCGCCAACCCCTTCCTCCGCCGGGTCTTGACCACAAAATCCCTCGCCGTCGCCATCGCGCTCGCCATCTCCAACGGCCTCAACTTGACACTCTTGTCCAACGGATCGCCCGGAACGACGGTCCACTTGTCAAAGACTAGACTGACGTTGGCCGCGCCCTGGGTGTGGATGCGGAGATCGGTCTCGAAGCCAAAGGAGTCGATGACGGGGATCAGGCCGCGCACCGCGTAGAGCGGCGTGCCTGCGATGGGGCCGTCGGATAACACGTGGCCGCGGCGCCGGGAGAGGACGGTATAGAGACTTGCCACCGAGTCAGCCGGCCCGGTCATGGCGCACGTGTACATCGGCTCCATGAGCCGGGGCGAAGCCATCAGGAAGGAAGAGTAGACTGCCCTTCGTGCGGTGGGGATGATCTGCCCTCCGCCGCGAAAGATCGCTTCGTCTGCCAGGCTGACGTCCGTGAGTCGGAACTTGGTATTTCGGATCGGTTCTTCACATAAGGGTCCTTCGCGCGTCCCCCACTGGAAACCCTGTTTGATACCCTCTTGCACCGTGCGGAGGGACTTCTTATCGATCTTCGAAGGTAAGGTGTCATCCACGAGGATATTCGGCCCCTGTTCGTCCGGACCAAAGGCCCAGATCGATCTGGCAGACAGCTTATCCCAATCGTATTTCTGCTCGAAGAACTGCGCGACTTTTCGGACGGGATCTTTGATCCTGACGCGCCCGGCTTCGATGTCCTCGGCGATGCCGTCGTCCAGCGGCTCCGCAATCATGGTGATTTTGTTTTTCTTGTTGGGAGTGATGGCGTAGCACATGATGGCGCTGGTCTCGACCACGGTCTCACAGAACCGGGTGACCGGGTCGGAGACTTTGATTTCCATCTCCGCATAGAGACGGCGAAGGTCGTGGAGGACGCAGTCCATGTAGAGCTCGCCAGTGCCGAGGACGACGTGTTCGCCCGACTCCTCGACTTTGGTGGATATCAGAGGGTAGGATTTGTTGATCTTGCGGAGGCCGTCGAGCATTTTGGGGAGTTCGGATGGGTTTATTGGTTCGACGGCTACTTTGAAGACAGACGTAGTCAGGTGTCGGATTGGGGAGAAAATGTAGGCATCTTCATTCTCGTCGAGCTTCAGTGGGAATATGGTGGCAGTCTTGACGATCGAATTGTCAATGCCAGACAACAGCACCCAGTTGCCGGCTGGCACACCAGAAACAGGGATGTTGTATCTGGAGCAAGCCAGCCATGTGTCGGAGATTGTCGCAGTAGTCATGTCCTCTTCGTCTTCAAGGGTGTAGTTCTCTCCCAGAACACGGACCTGCTGGCCCGGATGAGCAGTACCACTCATGATGCGACCGAAGGAATGGAAGCGAGAGGCATCAACGGTAGAGAAGAGTTTAGCCACGTGTATGACAAGTGGGCCATCTTGGTTGCACTGAGACATCGACGTGGCGATCTTGGTATCAAGCGGACCAGTGTAGTATCTATCGAGCTTCTTCTGAGCAGCCTCTATGGGCGATGGAACATGCTGGACAACCATGTCCACAAAGCCATCTGCTGGCCCAAAGAATTGCTCACAGACGAGCTTGAGAAGGACTTTAGCGTCAGTCTTTAGTTGTGACGGTTTTAATGATATGTTGAGAGTTGCCAGTGTAGCTTTAAGATCTTCCGGGCTCTCACTGATTGTATGAGAGTAGAGCTTATAGATCGGTTCGAGGACGAAATTGACGAATGTCCTTTTCGAACCTTCTTCCATTCCTTTTCGTGAGAATTTCCGACTCCTGGGATTGAACCAGATATCCCCCCATAGTCTTGCAGCAAACTCCGCTGCGTCAACCTTGGGATATGTCTCGGCATACATTTTGGCAAATGATTGCAAAGTGAAGACCCAGGCCATGCTACTACACGCGAAAGCAACGTTGCCCTTCTCCGGGCTCAGTCGTCTCTTTTCGTCTTGACCAGGGAGAGTGGTCTCGATGACTGTATTGACCTCTTCGACGACATGTTTCAGTTTGAAGTATGCATCATTTGGTGGGAGCTTGAGCTCCAATATCAGTCTATCAATTTTATTGATCACTAATGTCATGGGTAGATCTTCGAGGACTGCATGCTTGATGATCTGCTCCGTGTTGATCTGCACACCTTCCACGACGTCCACAATCAGGACCACTCCATCGACCAACCGTAAAGATGCGGCGACCTCATCCACAAAATTGACGTGGCCAGGTGTATCCAGTATATTGAACAGATGTGACTTCCCTCTTGTCCCCTGCAGCACCATGCTCATGGGTGCAGCTTTGATCGATAAGCCCCGTTCTCTTTCCAAGAAGTGGGTATCCGTATATCGTAGCTGTTCATCCCTCTTCCTCCCAACCCTCTTGTCCAGTCTCTCCTGCAGATCATGCGTCTGCATGACCAGCATGTCCATGAAAGCAGTTTTCCCATGGTGTAAATGTCCGGCAAAAGCAATGTTCCGTATCTGTTCCGGAAAGCTCAATAAATCTGTCATAAACTCACGTGAGTAGGTCACCGCTGGCAGATCAGCTTCTTGCACAGCAAACTTTTTCTTTTCCACAGGCGCAATGATGGGCTGGCTGAGAGGTTGCGCATCCTCCTCTTCTACCAGAGTTTCGACATCAGGACCATAGACTTGTGCCGCGGTGGGATAATATTGCTTGTCTTCATGAAGGATGACGGCGTTTGAGGGACCTTCATCATCCAGCTCCATCAACTGCTGCTCGTTGACTTCCTCCGCCGCCGCTTCTGAATCTTCATCGTAAACGTAGGATGGCCCAGCTTCGCGATTCTGCGATTCATCTTCTGACTCGGGAGCTTCTCCGATAAAGTTCCCAAACTCGTCGTAAAGGTCGTCCATGGTCCAACCGGTGCAGACCCTGGTGAAGAAATACCGCCTGTATGGCTTCAGCAAACCTCCAGACTTTCACCCATGAATGACCAGAAATTTTGTTGGTGTATCGAAAGCTAGTTCTTGGCCAGCATGCGGCATCCGACACTCGGGCCTCCGGGTCTAGGTTGTTAGGCGTCTGTGCGGGTACAGGCCTTAACCGGCGTTCGGGAACGCAAGTCAGCTGTGGTTCCTGATGCCACTCGGCAAAGCTGCAGCTTAAGAAAAGTTGGAGAGAGATCTACATAAACGCTCCCCCAGGACCTGTCACCATCCAGCATTCAACACTAGTCAGGCAAATATTAAAAGACATAACTGTCTATTCCACTATTTCTACATCATCCAGCATCCTGTGGCTCTCTCTATACTTGTCCTCCCATTAAGATCCTCCAAGTACGATCATGCCTGACCTTCCACCTGTCTATATTGTCTCCGCAGTCAGAACACCAATTGGCTCCTTCCTGGGGAGTCTTTCGAGCCTCACTGCTCCCCAACTTGGTTCACATGCTATCAAAGGTTTATATGGCATTGAAGCTATATATTGGGTGGAGACTGACTATAACTCTAGCTGCTCTACTGCGAGTCCCTGAAATCAAGCCTTCGGACGTGGAAGAAGTCTTCTTTGGCAATGTCATCTCTGCAGGGTATGCCATATGCTCAAAGTCTCTCTGTTTACGCTCACCATGGCTACAGTATCGGTCAGAACCCAGCACGCCAGTGCGCACTTGGTGCCGGCCTTTCGGAGGAGACGGTTTGCACGACTGTGAACAAAGTATGCGCCTCGAGCCTGAAAGCAATCATACTCGGAGCTCAGACGATCATGACGAGCAACGCGGACATCATTGTTGCTGGAGGTGCAGAATCGATGTCTCAGGTGCCCCACTACCTGCCCAACATGCGCTCGGGTGCCAAGTACGGAGACCAAACTTTGGTTGATGGTGTACTGAGGGATGGTTTGACTGATGCATATGGAAAGAAAGATCACATGGGCTTGTCGGCAGAAGAATGTGCACAAGACCATAGCTTCGATCGAAAAGCGCAGGACGACTATGCCATCAGATCATATGAGAGAGCACAAGCTGCACAGAAGAGTGGGGCGTTTGACTGGGAGATTACTCCCGTTGAACTGCCAGGAGTGCGCGGAAAGCCCGGTATAACAATCGACAAAGATGATGAGCCTAAGAACGTGAGCATTATGAGATTGAACCCTGAGTGGTGACTGACTTGACTAGTTGAATGTTGACAAACTCCGAGCCATGAAGCCGGCATTCATTCCGAATGGTGGTACCGTCACCGCACCGAACGCATCACCACTGAATGACGGTGCAGCTGCAGTCATTTTGGTTTCAGAAGAGAAGATGAAATCCCTCAAACTGAAGCCCCTTGCCAAGATCCTCGGATGGGGAGACGCTGCGAAAGCACCAAATAAATTCACAACTGCGCCTGCATTGGCTATCCCAAAAGCGCTCAAGCATGCTGGAGTCGACGAGAAGAATGTCGACGCATTTGAAATCAATGAAGCATTCAGCGTGGTCGCTCTGGCCAATATGAAGCTCCTCAACCTTTCGGAGGACAAGGTCAACGTACATGGTGGAGCCGTGGCCATGGGACACCCTCTAGGCGCAAGTGGTGCAAGAATTCTAACAACTCTTCTGGGGGTATTGAAAGAGAAGAAGGGCAAGATAGGTTGCGTTGGTATTTGCAACGGTGGTGGAGGAGCTAGTGCTCTGGTTGTGGAGTCGATGATGTAGAAGTAAAGGAGGATGCTTTACTTCGTACGCAGTAGCATTAATCGCCAGAGCGCTCTATGACGTTGTGTGTAACGTCATCAAAATATTTCAACCCGTCGGAGGAGTTTCTTTCGTATCGATCTATCAAGCCAATCGTCCAATCCTGGAACTTTCGGGCGGAGGGCGGCAAAAACTCTGTGCTTTCTATCAATACGTTCTTCAAAGAGTCGAAAACTGATGCTGGCAGTGGCAGTTCTTCGAAGGAGGCCTGGTGCTCATCAAGGAGCTTCTGCGGATCCTCTGCATTCTGATAGAATATCTTCAGGGCTCTCACGACGAGTTCGGATCTCCGAGAACTCGAATAGCGCATGTCTGGATTAAAGACCCAGATCTATCGCAGAAGGGTTGTCAGTTTCTTTTGACAATGTTGTCTGTGCTCGAGCTCACCAGCAAGCCTTGCTTGGTATCATCATGAGGATGAATAATGAATTTGCGCGCCGCTGACGATCCAATCAGGGAGAGTAATTGCGAGGAGATAAAGATCTCGGGCGGAAAGGATTGCCACTCTGCGGTCGGTGAAGGCCTTAAAGATAGACTGGACTTGTATAACCTCCATCCTTCCGCAGACACATCAATTGCCCCTAGTAAGGCTTTGCAGGTGGCGCAGTGCAGTTCGGAATTGTGTGTCTGTAATGTGTCAGTTCGAATGTACCTACACTTATCCCGCGAGATCCAGCACTGGGGAGAAGTCACGGAGAAACATTGGGGCTGGTTGAAGTTGGAGAAGCTGAGTATCCATCTGCCAAGACAGAAGATGCCGCAGCTCTCGGGATCAGCCAAAATCTTGATCTTGGGCAATTGTATCGGTGGCCTTGACATGAAACCGTCGCCGGTGTGGAAAGGCCTCCTTCTTGTTGCCCATAGAGGTAAGTGACCTGGATAGGGAGTACTTGCGAGGCACCCATTCTGGGAGTGTAAAAGACATAGAACAACGCTGGATAAAATAGTGAATAGTGGGCAGTACCTGTACGTCTTTGCAGCTCTGTTCAGCGAATAAGAAGGATGCAGTATCTACAAAGGCAATGCCAGCAGCTGCTTTCAATTTCGTAGAAGCACCATAACCCTTGGAATCTGCTGCTTGTCGGGCATCCTCTCCCTGACTTGGCTCGATATCTTGTGGTCTGTGACAGTGCCAAATGTCCATCATCTCCGCCCAGTGCTCACTTGGTAGAGCCTTAAATTGTAGCGGTAGCTCATTCGTCAGAATCTCAGTTTTGCAATCACGGCATCGCAGCTGAGTATTAGGACTCAGGTCATTTGCCGCCCATGGCGCTTCGTCGCCAGTTGTGTTCCCAACGCAAGGCATGTTCATGATGTCTGCTAGCTCCAAGCGGACTGACATCTCCTTGCCGCGATCAACGGGAATGCTGACCTCAGCAGTACCGCCAATCTCGGTTGGAAGATAGATACTGGCAGACTCTCCATCGTGAGATACTGTTATGGTCTTCTTGTCCGAGGCAATGTCTATTTTTGTGTGTTCGTTCTTATGTGTCTCCAACGACGCGTAAAGATTTGCCTGTCGGATGTTTGCGAGTACTTCGACGTAAAGGTAGATCATCGGCATGCTGGAGACAATTCGTGCTGGCTCAGCCAGTCGCTTGCAAATCATGAGATGCTGAAGTCGATGGATATTTGGTCTAGGCATTCGGCACCTAAAGAGGTTAGACCGGTACTACGTCCGTCCTACGTTTGTACTACGGCAGGTGTCAAGCTCGTGGATTTGTCCTTTGCAACAAGCTTTGAATCAAGAAAGGATTACAGGCAAATCCTCTTCTCGAATTCTTCTTATTCCAGGAATCTGTCTTTTTGAAAATGCCCACTTCCGCATTGATACTGGTATACAGTGAAAGGATAGTCATTTGATTGCTTTCCAGTCTTGAATCACATTCCTTTCCTTCAGCTAATTTTGTCAAAAATGGACCAATCGGACCACTTTCCAGCGTGCTCAAGGGTCAATTGGTTCAATCGAAACAAACAACAAACAATTAACTGGTCATAAGTTATTAGGAGGACTGCTGTAGCAGCCGGCGGGCATCGGAGACCTTGCTCCGTCTGCGAGTCTTCTCCAATCACAAAGAAACATTATGCTCTGCGAATAACGCCTTCAAAGTGATCATTATCTTCAACCACTTCTCAAACCGAAATCTTCATCCTCTTCACGAAATGCATTGCCCTGAGTTTGGCCTGCTCCAGCTAACATGCAACTGCGCTCATTTTTGGTCATTCTATTTGTCAAGATGCACCATGATGACAAAACTCCGCGGCTATGACTCGTTCACCTAGCTTTTCATCGATGCATCTGCCGGGGGTCCGTATCAGTGTGTAGCTGAACCGGGGGGGGGAAAGCCAGCCTACTTACTCGCACTAGACAACTCAACAGGCATGGCCACATCTATGGCACCTCGTTCCAGGGATGACCCAGACCTCACCACGACCTTCCCGGAGGCACTTTGGGCACCGCACGCCTGCCATCTATTCCACTCATCGTCAGCATTTGATGTGAGCCCTTACAATTATTGAGAAGTTTTGTTTCTAGCAAATCAGAAAAACGCTTGGAAAGCATACCGGAAACATATTGTGTTGAGGCAGAGCTTGAACTTGCTGCTCTGCGGGCACAAGGACACTCATGACTCAAGATAGGTTTTCTTCGCTGGGAGTCGCAAGTTGATCTGTTCCAGGTATGACTGATACTGGTGTATGGTTGGTTTGCTGATGCTCCTGAGAGTTCAAAGGTATTGCTTGAGCTTCCCGCAATCTGAGTGGGAAGGTTCCTATTTATGGTCCAATACGCCTACCGGGAGTTCATGGACAATTTTTCCCATCTCACCTCCCGATGAATCAGCTATCCGCACTCCTGTGGTATGACGCCCAGCTGGAATGCTGTACATGCAGCTTTCCGCCTGGTACTTTGTGTCTGAATGCAGTTATCTATCGGCGCCAGGGTGGCTACGGCCCGCCCTGCTACTCATAAGAGTCTATTCTGCCTGCTTGCCACGGAAATGAATGCGGAATCTCATTCAGATATCAGCAGGTCATCTGAGGTGCAAACTCGACTCGTTGATAGCGTCATCACAACGGCATGGTTCTATTCAGATCACAACTCGACAGACTAATTGAAGTCTATGACAGGACTCAGTCGCTGTAAACAACACAAGTGAGAGCCGGTTAGCAGCCGGGTTGTGCCGCTACGAAGCAAAGTCAGAGCGTTCAAAATTGATTACGGCGGGCATGAAAAGCAATGTGAGCGAGAACTGCAGTGACACTTTCGCTATACGGTTCATATTCTAATGTCCACTTACAATTAGCGTGAAATTTAAGTACTCCTTGTTTTGATGGCAATCAAGGCAAGTAGTCTTCGTTTTACTATTGATTTGGAACTACCGGGCGATTCTGCAATATTCCATCCAGACTCGAAGATTCGGGACCACCGCACTGGTGGTTTCTTGCGGTACAAGGTTTCGTGTTACTTGACAGTTGGCATCAGCAAGCCGTCTACCGAGTATTACAATCCCAGCATCGCTGGCGACCTTGCTCTGCTTCCTTCGGGCAGGGATGGCATAATATTTCTGCGTTTGCTGTTTTGCAGTAAGCTTTTCTGATTTCACTTTACTACTTAGTACCCATTGCAGTCTCTTTCTAGAGGTGCAGTGATCCTGCCCAGTTTCTTGGCGCCGTGCTTATTGACGTTCTAGTGCTAGTAGCATCATGAAGTTTTCCCTCGCTCAATCCCTGGCTATCCACGAAGGCCGTGTCTTCTTATGTGACGTGTCACATTTGAGACGAGGGGACGGGTGGGGGCCAAGTCAGAGGTGCATTATGTGGCTAATATGATGATCGGTCTGAACGGATCCAGTATCGCAGCTTCAATGCCTCTGTTCTACATAGTGTGTTGCGCAAGATGGTCGTCATGAAGTCCATGTACATCGGACCGTGGGGTCCAGAGGTACTGGTTACACGCATCCGCACCTAATCCGGTGACTTTCAAGGGCTACCCTTCGTGTTCTAGCGCCAATAATGATAATCAGCAATAGGTACGTCAAGTCAGCCCAAAAATATGAGCTTGAGCAGTGAGTTCGTTGACGTGCGCTTGGCAACTAGGGATTCTGTCACAACGGAGATCAAACTTAGACCTCTTCTGCTTTCACCCTACAGGAGACTGTCTCCCTGTGAGCAATTAGCACGCTTGTGGATTTGCAGTCACCTCTCTGCATAGGGTCATATATGAGCTAACCTCCTCAACGGTCTGCCGCTCCGTCTTTGCTCATCAGCAAGCATTAAATACCATAAACCCGTGGTCAATTTCAGATGCAGCTTGCCGTACATTTATGTACAAGACGAGGTCCATTAACTCGCATCATGCACGATCTGTCTTGCAACCACGCTTAGGAAAAAACCTTAATGATCCTGACAAGCAAGACACCGGATGATTCCATTCCTTTCTCATCTAGCAGATGAACAAAGCGGTAACCGATTTTCAACCTATCGAGTCTGATGCAGGCCCAGGCTGCCAGAGTGTCCTTGCCGAAATTGTCGTCCTTGACCTTGATTCTGTTAAAAAAACGGCTGTTAGCTCCCGCCAATTGTGCATATCAGGTCTGGGAGAAATCGCCAGCTGGTCTATGCATGCACTGGTTGGATTTTAATTGAAATGGCTTGAAGGAGGCAAACTTGCGCAGTAGAACAGACTGATATTTTTCAACCTCACACATAGTTATTGCTAGGGGTACCAACGAAAGGGCAGACTCACCTAATGAAACTCAATTCTTCAACCACATTCGCCACATTCGAGAATTGGTGCACCTCGCCGCAGAAATCCGGATTGACTCCTTTGCTAGTCTTCGAGACCCACTTTAGTTTCTCGTTATTCCTTGTGGAGTCACCCGGCTTAAATTTTTCACTTCCGTACAGCATATCGCACTTCACATATGGGTGAAATTTCTTGGCCACCTTTTCATCAAAGGGCAATGGCAGATTCTGACCAGCACACAGCTCGATTGTTAAGCTCAAGGTGCGTTTTGGAACGGGTTTCCCGCCATCAGAGTCTTTGATTGTGCCTCGATAGCCTTCTGGTTTCAATACCCAACCCTCTTGTCCCGCAAACATACCTTCATTTAGCATCATACCCTTGTCCCATTTTTGCCAATTCAGAGCCGCCATCTGCACACCCTGACGCCAGAGAAAAAGCGGTTCGAGATTCGAAGAGTTGACCCGCATGCCAGATGGATACGCCCGCATCAGGTAATCTCGATTGTGGGAGAATAATGCATGACCATCACTTTCGTGCATGTCTACAACTTTAGCTTCTGATAGGGAGAAGACATGAGTTGGTATCGATGCTTCTGGCTGATCGAACTGCTTGAAAGTAAAACCGCGTGTGTAGACTCCTAGCTGGCTCAACGCCTGCAGGATCTTTGAGCTTTTCTTCTTCTGCTTTTCACCATCTGTACCGTTCTCGTCGTCGCCTGAAGAAGCTACCTGGTCATTGGGATTGTTAGATTCCTGCCCTGCTGCAGGTGGCGCCCACTTGACCTTGATCAGGATCTTATTGCGTAACTCATCTGGACTCGGCAGGCGTTCGATTTCCTCCTCCGATGCTTTCGAAATGTCTACTAACATCCCTTCCCACGCTTCTTTCATGATATCAATCATGATCTCCTGTTGCTCTAGGCAGGCGTGGACTTCGAGGCTTACTATGAGAGGAAGGTCGGTTGCAACGAACGCAGTTTCTCGAATAGCATTGCAGACAGCACGAAATGAGACCTCTTTCGTGAGTGTGTAGCCGTGAAGAACTCTTGGTTCGGCTTTGTCTTCGGCCATCTTCCACGGTGTAGGCATTTCAGCTGGGGTAGCAGCATTGGCTCTCTGCGGACTTGAGGAAGACCTTCCCCGCCAGGAATTCGACCTCGACCTTGCTCGCTGCTTGATGGTATTAAAGTGGCCTGACACTTTCTTACCCAATCCTGGTTTCCTAGCTGGACTCAGCCTCTGGCTATCCTCCCTTTCACCATCGGAACTACTGGCACTGCTTGCTGATCTCGACTCCCCATCCCAAACATCAATCTCCAGACAGCGACAACCTCGTAATAACACATTCCTGTATGAATCTGTACTTGCTTCGCTATAGAGCTGATTCCCCGTCAGATATGTGTTGTGGCTTGAGCTAATATAGTAGCTCGATATCGGATGGCTCAGATCGTGCTTTTTGGGCGGCCCCATCGCACTCGCAAGGGCGCTGGACATGTATGCCAGGAAGTTGTCAAGGCCGTTGACGGCATGTGGAAAGTATTTTCCAGCATCTGGTGCGTTTTCCTGTTGGATTGTTTGAAGGAGATGTGAGACGGCGCCCTGGTCCAGGCCATGATTCCCGCTGTGGCTACTGTTGCAGAGTCTCTTAAATGCCTTCTCCAGATGTTCGACGACAGCAGGTGTGAAGGAAGTGACTTCGTGCGTGTAAGCTGCGGAGGAGGGTGCACCACCACCGGCCTGGCGAGTAGGCACTATCCTTGGGATCGACGCTGGGGTAGACATCGTCTATACTCACGTGATGCTGCACAAGGAAAAGGAAGCAGCGTGAGAATAAAACCTGCAACTGTCCTGGGCTACAATCAATACCTACCACGCTCTAAGAGCCGCACATTCAGCAGACTTCGTGGTTGAGAGGTTTCACGCGCCGAAGGAAGAGCTGCGCCCACTTTCCAGGTCATAAAACAGCTGAAAGTGGGGTGAAGGAATAGACCAACCTTCACCTCAATGAGTAACAGCTTTGCATGGCTCAAGTCAGCCGCGAAAGAGGATCATGGCCATGGTTATATATACCACCACTACAAGTAGGAGTTAACAAATCCACCCATTGACCTGGGAAACCACCCCAGAGAACCTGACAGCTCCCTAGACTCAAAGTTCAGCTACTTGGACCCTAACTCGGGGATGTTCATAATTCAGCCGCACGTTTTGCCGTCAGCCAAGAAAGCCTTGAAAGCCAAAATCAATTTGAGGTGCATCATTGGATGGCACGTTGATTTCTTGGCGGACTCACCACGTCTCTCTGCCACATATCCATGTAATTCTATCATCAGTCACGCTAAAGGCTTGGTCAATTAGGTTGCAACATTTTCTAGAGCTCAGTGAACTGTAAGCTGCTATCATGGGCAACACCCGCGCACAAGATGAAGCCAAAGTCCGAGGTTGGGGCTTCAGTCACGTGTTCACCTGGACGGATGGACCGTAAGTCTTTCTTCTTCCTTACCCATACTCTTATCTTTTCCCGTTTCCGCCTTCGTTCTTCAGCGCCCTCTTCGCCCTCCCCAACCCTAGTAGGCTCATTTCCGTTCCAGGTACTGCCGTCTTCACTCTCGTGATGGCTTCTTCCTTGCCAACCACAACCATTTCGTCACCCGTTTATTTATACAATCTCACACTCTGCTCCAAACCCCCTTTCACCTCACATGGTTTACAGAAATGCACACTACCCGCCTCACTCCCACAGCGGTCTGACCACCCACCTTATCCGCCGTGGGACACTTACCATCACGTATCCACGGGATGAGCATCCGAAGAAAGAGACGTTTGGAGTAGGAGCGAGGATCGATGTTCCGGCGGGGAAGGAGCATGAAGTCTGGATGGGCGGGGAGGGATGTGAGTATGTTATTGGGGAGTGATGATTGTTGAGGGCAAGGGGGTGGGGGTTGTAAGGGATGAGGAAGGAAAAAGGGCAGGGCATGCGTTACTTGAGGATGATAATGGCTTGCATAGTACAGCATGCTCTTTAATGTAGTTGAACGAGAAATCTGAAATACTAGTATATAGCATCTTGCTCTGCATTGTAACAAGAACAGGGTCTACTGGCAAGGCTTGGTTGACATAAGTAGTATAGTAGTATTCTGATGGTCTATACATGCAATTTGGCCCCACTCAGCAAAATATCTATATCTCTTAGAGTAGAAAAGGGGATCCATAAAAGAAAAAAGTGTCTCTTTTATCACATTTCAAATTGGGAAGGGTGATAGAAATGACTCTGGTGTACGGAGTAGGTCAAAGTTCCTACTATTTCGTCTGTCTTGAAGTCTTGCAACTGTCTAAATATTTGCTGTGTACGGGACGCTCGTTCGTGTACATGAATTTGCCCACTATATCGCAAGGTGGACTCCATGATGTGAATATAAATACCTACCAAAAAAAAGTAAGTTCCCTCGAGCCGGAATCGAGCCGGCGACTTTTTACCAGTTAGTTTAACGAAGTTGTTGAAATTGATGGTTGGACTTACCCTTTCGGTGAAATATTTTCCATTACAGCCGAACGTGATATCCAACTACACCATCAAGGGTTGAGTTGTTGGGAAACTAGACCTTTTTAAAAAATTTTATATTTTTGGAAAGATTGATTTTGGACATGTCCACCACCTTTATATGAGAAGCATCGACTAGTATTTCTATACTGTTCCCAGTGTTTATGACATAAGGGGGTCTACCTGGTCCGAAAGTATGCTTTGTAACCTCTTGATAGGTTCTCCCTGACTTGGCCTGGGCGTAGTTATCCCCTCCGTACCCAAGATGTGTCAATTAGCGCCTTGGCATAAATTCAGTACCCATAAGGTGCCCGGAAAGGTACCTAATATATGCCAAGGCGCTAATTGACACATCTTGGGTACGGAGGGGATACATAGTATGCATCTAACTACTTACCAGGAGAAGGGGTAGCTAAAGATTTGCGCTAAGTGCCATTAGTAGAAATGACAGTCATTCCGTCAAATGACCACCATACTAAGATAATAAAAGAAGCATATTTTGACTAGTTAGTTATACAATAATTATATTTTTAGTAAAATACGTTATCCCCTCCGTGCCCGATGCCTCAATTAGCGCGTTTGGTGAAATTTAAGCTCAAATAAGGTCGCTCACAGGACATCGTCTAACCAGCATTCAATGAATATATTATCAGACAAATCATTTGACAAGTGAGTTAAAGCTTTGCTCTTGAAGACACTTATTCCCGAATATCTATCAAAGGCGTTCGAGCAAGCAAAAGTTGTAGCAACATCGAAATAAGGAGATCGACGACGCTAATTGAGGCATTCTACACCCCTGTTCGGGCACGGAGGGGATAGATAGAAGATTTTATTAGATCATGGACAACTAAGCTGCATATCCTTGTACTCTCTGAGTAATATCACGGTTAGGCTTAATCTAAACGCACTTTGATGGCTCCCTAGCATTATTTTAAGAGCGCCTCGTCCTGCTAAGTAGTGGCCGCTTACGGAATGACGGCGGCGCAAAAGTCATGGCTGATTCCGGAACCATCTCGGTCCTCAGAACAACTCAACACCTAAGTAATTCAATTCCTCCATGAACCAGTTCTAGATCCTATCTTCGATCCTAATGGAGAGTCGACTGGGCCTAGGGTACAGAGGATGTGTCTGCTGTAAGAGCAATGTTCAACAAGCGAGGTATGAATATCACTCTAGTTAGACTAATTCCACGTGCATTGACTTAACCTAGGATACGGTGACAATGGAGTCCTCTACCAACTATCATCGCAGGCGCTTCGAACAGAGCTACAGCGGCGAGACGAAGCGACCGGAAAGCCAGTCTGTGGCTCAGGCGGGAGAACTGGGTCATACAACACTCCTTTGCATGTCGCAGCACTTTTCATAATCCTTATCCTAAGCACCCTCGGTATGCACCCTTCGCTGAATCTGACAGTGCTACACTGACAAGTTGTCTAGCTTGCTCCTTCCCCATCATTGCAAGGCGCTTTCCCAAGCTCCCTATCCCACATCGATTCCTATTCCTCTCAAGACATTTCGGTACCGGCGTTCTGATAGCAACTGCATTCGTCCATCTCCTTCCCACAGCTTTCGTGTCCCTGACAGACCCATGTCTTCCTTACTTCTGGAACGAAGGTTACCCTGCCATGGCTGGTTTTATCGCTATGGCATCCGTGTTTCTCGTGGTCACCATTGAGATGTTCTTTGCTATGAGAGGGGCGAAGCATATGCATGGAAGTGAATGGGACACTTTACCTCCCGAAGACGGGGAGACACAACAGAGACATCGCACACTCGATATTCCATTAGCGGACAGCGTCGATGGCCACCAGAAGCAGCCGCGGAACGGTGGACTAGGGCTGCATGGAAGGAGCGGCTCTCATCAAGGCCTTATGGAAGGTCAAAGCACTTCCAACACACCAAACCCCAATACAGCAGCCGATGAATCCGAATCTGACCTCGATATACTAGACCCAATAGCTGAAGAATCCATCTCCCTCCACGAACCCTCCTCTAGACATCAACAGCACCGCCACAACCCCCAAGACCAACACTCAGCTAACCCGCAAAAACTGCTCCTCCAATGCCTCCTCCTCGAAGCCGGCATCCTGTTTCACAGCATCTTCATCGGCATGGCCCTCTCCGTCAGCACCGGCACCCCTTTCGTTGTCCTCCTCGTTGCCATCTCCTTCCACCAAACCTTCGAAGGTCTCGCCCTGGGCTCCCGCATCTCCGCCCTCATCCCCTCTCTATTCGGCCCCCGCTCCATCAAGCCCTGGCTCATGGCCCTCGCCTACGGTACCACCACCCCCATCGGCCAGGCCATCGGGTTGGGCATGCATAAGCTGTACGATCCGGCGAGCATGATGGGTTTGTTGAGCGTGGGGATCACGAATGCAATCTCCAGTGGTCTGTTGCTATTTGCCGGGTTGGTGGAGTTGCTGGCGGAGGACTTTTTAAGTGATAGGAGTTATGAGGTGCTGAGGGGGAGGAGGAGGATGGAAGCATGTCTCTCGGTTGCGGCCGGGGGGATTTTGATGGCTATCGTAGGCGCTTTTGCATAGATTGGTCGTCTGGGATTGAAGGCCTCCATGGGGTACCTTATATCTATGCAACTCTACATAAAAGGGAGTTCTTTTAAGTATTGGGGTTCTACCGGAACTTCTGCGGCTAGGTTAGAGGATCAACTTTCAACTTTTGAGGCTTCTCATCAGTCAGTTTAGCAAATACCTTCCCCAGCTGCCTTTCCATCCTTCATCTCACGTATCTGTGTAAATCACTCAAACGAATTCCCTCCCGCGTAAAATACGTACCAGGGTGGATCCCTACGCTATTTACTTCTAACTACTAGGCACTCTCACGAAATTTGGTCTAGCAACACAATATATTCGAACCCCTTCACGCCTTCAGCCTCCTGACAGGACATGTGAAATCTTCTCCCTCTCCAAGTTCTGACGCCCTACTCCGACCTTAAGAAACCAGTCAGTACTACTACGTAGGTAGGCAGTACTCGTCCGAGCGTTCCTTATAGCCTACAGTAACCTACTGGGACGTGGATGAAGACGTGTCCCGACCGAGCCTAGTACGACGGACCTGTGGCTTTCAATGCAAGCGTCCGATGACGAGCTGAAGGCATTTGATATATTGTAGCTAAATGATGATAACGACTTGTTAAGTCGGGCCGTTGTGGGAAATATTTTGAGCGTCGTCGTCGTAGCCCCATGTAAATTACAAAATTACCAGAGCTGCCATGTCCACGGTTTTCAGCAGTCCCGTGACTAGTATTCAGGGTGGTTAAGGATCCGAGAGCCTAGCATAAGAGCATCCATACCCAAGGATCAAGGTAGTTACTGGGAGCCCGTCAGGTGCATGTAACCTTGTTCTGGTGGTATCGTATCACCGAATAGCATTGATTTCGGCTTGCCCTTTCTTCATAGCGCTACTACCTCGATAAAGCTATGTCGTCTATCCGTAGAATGACTTTGACGGTCTCGGCAGCCAGCTCAATCGCACTGGTGCTCACAAGCAACGGCTGCAACACCTTCTCATCCGCAATATTCCCCTTGACACCCCCACTTCTTATACTCACACCTGCATTCTTCTCCCCCAGATCATGTCGATGTCTCAAATCCGTGACGAACCTGATGCTGTTCAGACCTGCATTCTCTGCCAGAGTGGTGGGAATGACCTCCATCGCGTCGGCGAAGGCTTTCCAGCAGATTGCTTCGGTGCCGGTTAGTGTTCGGGCGGTCTTCGCGAGGGCGTTTGCAACTTCTATCTCCGGAGCACCACCACCGGCTATGAGGGCTTTCTTTTTGACAAGACAACGCACCACGCAGAGGGCATCGTGGAGGGAGCGTTCTGCTTCATCAAGGATAAGGGAATTGGCGCCTCGGGCTACTATCGAGACTGTCTGGTTTTGTGTGGAGGCAGTTCGGATGCCGGTTACTTTCACGTATCGTGAGCCGGAAGATTGGACCTCTTCAATAAGGTCGGCGCTCCCGAGCTTGTCTTCGGAAAAGGAGTCGATGTTGGCGATTGGTTTGCAGCCTGTACTTCTGCAGATAAATTCTACCTCGTCACGTTCGATGTCTTTGATGGCCATGATCTTGAGTCGGGAGAGGAAGTGGAGAGAGAGATCGTTGACAGCATCGCGAAGGATGGATTTCTGGATTAACAGAACGTTACATTTTGCCTTCTGGATCTTCTTGACCATGTTCAGTAGGTAAGTGCGCTCTTCTTTCAGGATCTTGTCCATCTGTCGGTAGTCATTCACGACTATTTGATTCTCCATATCGGGCTTCGGAGGACTAAGCTGGAACTGTATGAGACCTATCCGCGCCTTCTCGACTCTGGTAGGGCCACCACCGCTCTTAATGACTTGCTGGTTGAGGACAAGACCGTCGATCATCTCTGAATCTTCAATGGTGCCGCCAACTTTTTTGATGATTCGGATGTTTCGTAGATCAACATTTTCTGCTGTCCTCTGGTCGATTGTTTTAAGTACAGAGTCGACAGCAATTGGTGCGAGCAATCCAGAGTGTTGTGATACAATTTTGGAGGAGAGCGAGGTGGATGCGGCTTGTAGAAGAGTGGTTCGATCTGAAAGTGAAATAGGGTGCGACATCTGGTGAAGCGTCTCGACGGCGGCACGTGCTGCTCTTTGAAAAGACTCGGAAATGATTGTTGGATGTATACCTTTGGAGAGCAAGCGATCCGCGGCTCCAAGCAAGCTGCCTGCAATGACCACCACAGATGTTGTTCCGTCCCCAGCTTCCACGTCTTGCGCTGCGCTGAGGTCGACTAGCATCTTTGCAGCGGGATGCATCACGCTCATACTCTTCAGCATGGTATTCCCGTCGTTTGTTATGATTGTCTCCCCCTTGCCAGTCTGTATCATTTTGTCCATGCCTCTGGGGCCTAACGAGGTTCGAATTGCGTCGGCAACAGCTTTGAAAGGTCAGCCACAGGGCAGCATTGGTGGAGCTATACGAACCCCTGGCGGCCATGATATTAGCGGTACGGACTGCCATAGGCTTCTCCTTGTCCTAATATACACTCAGCATCAATAGTCTCTATCAGACGGAGCCTGCCTACCTTGAAGGCTGAGTTGCCCGCATTACCTTGTATTCCGAGTGCGGCCGCCATCCTGAGCGAATAGTATGCCTATACTGCAATCTTCAGTACTGAAGAGAGTGAATTCAGAATGCCCGATCACAATAGCGTAGTACTATAAGCGAGGATTATCGAATGCCCTCCGCATGTTCGACCTCAGGAAATATTTCTTAGGCCGGAAGACCTACGTTGGCCGGCCTTAGCGCGGCATCATAGCTTGTGTCTCGTTACGGACAGACGCCTGGATGTATTCTTACAACCACGCTTTTAAAACATCACTCATCAATACCCTCGCTGTTTTTTACGCCCCATCATAATTCCGTCGACCACATCCTGCGCTGCAGCCTGCTTGACTGTACGCGAAAGAGAAAGGAAACCTAGCGAAGCCCAACGAAAGAGGACCGTCACTCCGATCCTTAGTCAACATGCCCAGCGCAACGGGTCAAAGCTGGGAGAAGTACAAGAAGGAATTTGTGGATGACGAGGAGCCAGAGAAGAAGATCACCCCTCTAACAGATGAGTGCGTCATATCTGCTTGCTCACTGGAACGATTCTCTGATGATCTGTAGGGACATCCAGGTGCTTAAAACCTATGGAGCGGCCCCTTACGCCGCTGCGCTCAAGAGGCTCGAGAAGGAGATCAAGGACAAGCAAACCAGCGTCAACGAGAAGATCGGTGTCAAGGTGATAACCACGACCCTGAATCATGGTGGACACGTCCACTAATCTTTCTTCAGGAATCCGACACAGGACTTGCTCCTCCCCATCTTTGGGACGTCGCAGCGGACAGACAACGAATGTCGGAAGAGCAGCCATTACAAGTCGCACGATGTACCAAGATCATTCAGGACGAAAAAGACAGCGAGAAGAGTAAATATGTCATTAATGTCAAGCAAATTGCCAAGTTCGTGGTCAACCTCGGGGAACGAGTCAGCCCTACAGATATCGAGGAAGGCATGCGGGTAGGAGTCGATCGCAATAAGTACCAGATCTTACTACCGTTGCCGCCGAAGATCGACCCCAGTGTTACTATGATGACAGTTGAAGATAAGCCTGATGTCACCTACGGAGATGTAGGAGGTTGCAAAGAGCAGATTGAAAAGTTGAGGGAGGTTGTTGAAATGCCACTACTCTCGCCGGAACGATTTGTGCATCTTGGGATAGACCCTCCAAAAGGAGCACTTCTCTACGGACCGCCAGGTACTGGTAAAACACTCTGTGCCAGAGCTGTTGCCAATCGAACCGACGCAACCTTCATCCGAGTCATTGGAAGCGAACTTGTGCAGAAGTATGTTGGGGAGGGCGCACGAATGGTACGTGAGTTATTTGAAATGGCACGCACAAAGAAAGCTTGCATAATCTTCTTCGACGAGATCGATGCCATCGGTGGCGCCCGGTTCGATGATGGTGCTGGTGGTGATAACGAGGTGCAAAGGACTATGTTGGAGCTCATTACCCAGCTCGACGGGTTTGACTCGCGTGGCAACATCAAGGTCATGTTCGCTACAAACAGACCATCTACTCTGGACCCAGCCTTGATGAGGCCTGGACGTATAGATCGAAAGATTGAATTCTCGCTGCCTGACTTGGATGGACGAGCCAATATCCTCCGAATCCATGCAAAGAGCATGTCCGTGGAAAGGGACATCCGTTGGGAGCTCATCTCCAGATTGTGCCCGAATGCCACTGGAGCGGAACTGCGAAGTGTCGCAACTGAAGCTGGGATGTTTGCAATCCGAGCAAGAAGGAAAGTCGCCACGGAGAAGGACTTTCTGGCAGCTGTGGACAAGGTCATCAAGGGCAATTTGAAGTTCAACTCGACAGCGACATATATGCAATACAATTAAGCTCGCATGGGTAGCATCAAGGACGGATGGTGACAAGGAGTTGTGGTCAGCTGATGGGGATAGATCTTCGCACGAGTGCATTGCATAATGAGCGTGCTCCTTGTACAATAACAACCACCAAGATAGTACATGCAAAATGAACCTGATCAGATGCCAGCTCTTTTGGAATCGTACCATGGTACGCCGTTAATAAGTCAATGCTGATAGGCTCATTCGGCATCCTCGGCCTGAAGTCCTCCAGTGGGGGATTCGTTGCCTCAAATTATGAGCTAATGGAACATTGTTTTAAGGCATTTCTCGAGGCCTCCACCACGCTTTGGCTGCAGAATTCTTTGCTCAGTCTCTGTATTCCAGAGCACAGTTTCAGCCATAGTCGTTAATTATGAATTCTTCACAGATGCGGAGCCTTGCTCCCATGGCAAAGGTATGGCAATGTTCTGTCATGCGCCCGTTCAATGGCACTGATTCTGCCACCAGCTTTCGCGAAACCTCAGACTATCACGAAGACCATTCTCATCAACAAGACCTGCAGGTATGTCATCGCATGCTGGCCACGTACTGGTCAAGCTGATAGTCGGCAGCTCGAATAATTGCCAGTCAGCCTCTTCGAGCAACAGAAGCCTCTCCCTTTGTTTCGCACAAGTACCCCGTTGTGGTATGCTATACCTGGCACGTCTGTGGTGTGCTCTGAACTGAGTTTGCCTTAGGACCATGAGTATGATGCCGTCGTGGTTGGCGCTGGAGGAGCGGGCCTGCGTGCAGCCTTTGGACTGGCCGAAGCGGGATTCAACACCGCTTGTGTATCCAAACTCTTCCCTACCCGAAGTCACACTGTCGCCGCTCAGGGCGGGATCAATGCTGCGCTTGGGAAGTGAGTGTCTTGAGCAGGCACCATGCTGGCACCTGGCTGACGTCAGTCTAGTATGCACAAGGATGACTGGAAATGGCACATGTACGATACGGTAAAAGGCTCCGACTGGCTGGGTGACCAAGATGCAATTCATTATATGACGAGGGAAGCACCACAGTCCGTTATCGAACTTGAAAGCTATGGATGTCCGTTCTCCCGAACAGAGGATGGCAAGATCTACCAGAGAGCTTTCGGCGGACAAACACAGAATTACGGCAAATCTGGTCAAGCATACCGATGTTGTGCTGCAGCAGACAGGACAGGTCATGCAATGCTACACACGCTCTACGGTCGATCGCTCGCGTACAACACCAATTACTTTATCGAGTACTTTGCAATGGATCTGTTGATGGAGGACGGCGAATGTAAGGGTGTCATCGCTTATAACCAAGAGGACGGGACGCTGCACAGATTCAGGGCACACAACACAGTGCTGGCTACTGGAGGCTACGGAAGGGCATATTTCAGCTGTACGTCTGCCCACACATGCACAGGTGATGGCATGGCAATGGTTGCTCGTGCTGGGCTGCCGAATCAGGATCTGGAATTCGTTCAATTTCATCCTACTGGTATCTACGGAGCTGGTTGCTTGATTACCGAAGGCTCGCGGGGTGAGGGTGGGTATCTCCTGAACTCCGAAGGCGAGCGATTTATGGAAAGATACGCACCCACAGCTAAGGATCTTGCATCGAGAGATGTCGTATCACGTTCGATGACCATGGAAATTCGAGAAGGTCGAGGTGTCGGACCAGACAAGGACCATATCTATCTACAATTAAGTCACCTGCCTGCTGAGGTCCTACACGAACGTCTTCCGGGTATCTCCGAGACTGCCTCCATCTTCGCCGGTGTCGATGTCCGCAAGCAGCCTATTCCCGTTATCCCAACCGTGCACTACAACATGGGCGGTATCCCCACCAAATACACTGGCGAGGTCTTAACGGTAGATGAGTCCGGCAAAGACAAAGTCGTTCCAGGCCTATTTGCCTGTGGCGAAGCAGCTTGCGTGTCGGTGCATGGAGCTAACCGCCTCGGCGCGAACTCACTGCTCGACTTGATCGTATTCGGTCGAGCCGTATCACACACGATTCGAGACAACTTCGATCCAGGTCGGCCTCATTCCGACATCAGCGCTGATGCGGGAAGTGAGTCCATCAACGTACTGGACCAAGTACGAACCGCCAATGGTCCGAAGACCACAAGCGATATCCGATCCCAAATGCAAAAAGTCATGCAGACCGATGTCAGCGTATTCAGGACACAGGGCTCACTAGACGCCGGGGTAAAGGAAATCGACAAAGTGGACAAACTCTTCGAGCAGGTCGGTACCAAAGACAGGAGTATGATCTGGAACACCGACCTAGTCGAAACCCTAGAGCTAAGAAATCTTCTCACTTGCGCGTATGCTTCCCATCCCTCTCCTCCCAGCCCCCAGGCAACAAATCACTGACTTATATACATACAGAACACAAACCGCCGTAGCAGCCGCCAACCGCCAGGAATCCCGCGGCGCACACGCCCGAGAAGATTTCCCCGAACGAAACGATGACGAGTGGATGAAACACACCCTCACCTTCCAGAAGAAACCGCATGGCAAGGTGGACCTGGGCTATCGCAGTGTGGTGGGAACGACGTTGGATGAGAGTGAATGCAAGCCTGTGCTGCCCTTTAAGAGAACTTACTAGGGTACTAAACAGGTCACGTTGGAGCGGGCAGGGAGTAGATATTCTGAGTTATTGCTTTTAGGCATCTACCGCATGTGGTACGGAGTATTGCTTGCTCTGCGCGCTACTGGGTTAGGTGATGGCTAGGGTAGAGGGGGCACTTTAGGCACGCGAGAGAAAATATATCCATGTACTACACGTCCTGCACTCGATCTTGAGCTCCCACGTTACAGAGTATGTGTGTGGCAACCTAATGTGGAATGTTGTATACTATGTTTTCTTCTTGAACAGTAGATGCACGGTTCCTCTGTTTTCCACCAACTACATTGTTACGGTCGCAGAGCCCCGAGTCGCACAGGGGGGAACCACCATCACTAGCCTACGATGCCTTAAGGAACCATCAAACAGGCACCATGACGGGGCACATGGTGCCGGCGCCACCATCGACCACGAGGTTCTGGCCGGTGATGTAGCTGCTGAAGCCGCTGGCGCCAGGAAGCCGGCGACCTTGGCGACCTCGGCGGGATGGCCGGCCCTCTCGAGGCCGATATTGGCCTTCTGCACGTCGACGCTCTGCAGATCGGCGGGCGGGAGCTGGGCGTTCATGGCGCGCGTGTCGAGCGCCTTGAGATCGACGCCGACGTCGATCTGGCCGGGGCTGATGCAGTTGATGCGCACGCCGGTGCCCTTGAGGACGGCGACGCCGGCGCGCACCACGCCGAGGGCGGCGTGCGACGACATGGTGAAGCAGGGGCCCCAGCAGCCGCCGTAGGTGCTGGCGGTGCTGCTGACCACGATGATGCTGCCGTACTCGCGGTCCTTGGGCGCGGCGTTGGCGTAGTTGCCCTTGGGCGTCGTCTTGGCCATGGCGGGCGGCGCGTATTTGAGCGCGAAGAAGGGCGCCATCGAGTTGGCTTCGAAGCACTTCTGGAGGTCTTGCGGCGTGGTCGCCTCGATGGACGGCGGGCCCAGCACACGTCGAGCCGGCCCCAGGCGTTGAGCGCTTCGTCGAGCAGGGTCAGCGTGTCGGATTCGGACGAGATGGAGTACGGGTAGTCGATGATCTTCGTGTTCGGGTAGAGCTTCGAGAGCGAGTCGGACAGGCCGGAGGATTGGTCCGTCTGCGTGCACGTGTAGATGCAGGCTGCGCCGTGGGCTGTTGGGGAGAAAGGAAAGAAAGATGTGAGTTTATTTGGAGCTTTTGAGGCTTGGGATGGGGTGGAGATAGTACCTGCGAGTTCTGTTGCGATGGCTTGGCCTATGGGTTGATTGGCCGAGGTGACCACGCAGACGAAACCGTACAGCTTCCCGTCAGACCTGTAGGGAGAGAAATACTCGGATTCGGATTCCATGACCATGCTGAGGAGCACAAGGGATGCAGAGAGGATGACTTGCACACGAGGGAGAGTGAGAAGAAGAATAGGAAAGAAGTGTAAGAGAGTGTTTGGGGAGAAGAGTTTGTTCAATGAAGCCGAGTGCCCAGGTCAGCAATGCTCTAGGTCGTCAACCGGAATGGTTCAGGGCGGCTCCATAGCAATCCAGAGATCTCGGAGCCTACCAGCATTGACAGAGCCAATCATGCTGGAGAGATCAGCCATCGAGATAAGATGAGTGCTGCCAGAAAATGTAGGTCGAGGCAGGAGACTTGCTGGGGGATTTTCGTCTCCGCGGTCCACTCTAGGTGGTGGATGCTCCAGGGCAGAGCCCGCTAACTAATAATGGTGGTTGGTGGTCCGATAAGGAGCTGCTTATCGGCCTCGGCTTCAACCTCTCCACTCATAAAAGACATATTTAAAATCTCCTTTCTTGCAGTAGCAGCAGATCTCCTCTTCGAAAACGTGTCGACAAAATCCAGAACATGGGCTCCCCGTTTCTGCTGTGGCGTCGAAATGCTAGAACATCAGAACATTCTAAGAATGACAAAGGTGTTATGACCGCCGAGCCCTGCGCACGATATGAGGGCCAGGAGGACTCTGGTAGATCATTCTCTTGTTTGGCAGCTTCCTTGTTTGGCAGCTGCCTTGTTTGATAGCTGCCTTGTTTGGGCAGCTACCACGAAGGTTCTACGTTCTTCTATGGCACAAACGCCTCTTAGTATTTAGATCTCTCTTCTCTCTAGATAGATTCTAGTTCTCTGCGCTCAATAAGTCATTCCACTGACACCCTGCTGTTCTATTGCCCTTGCACTCCCCTGAGATCCTAACAAAAGGGCGGCGATGATATTCAAGTGCACATTTAGCCCCTTCAGTAAAGCAATCTTGTAGGCTCCGGGATACGGAGTACATATTGCGGTGTTAGAGGAAGAAGAGTATTTCTCTGCGATATGACAAGACTCATAATTTCATAGCTTCATTCAATAACGTCTCCAGAAATTATCTTCGTCAAAAAGCTATTGCCTACTCTAGGATTCGAGGATTTCTTGATTACTAATTGAGGCAAATGACTTAACGACGATTTGCCAATCATCTTACCGTGACATCTGGGATCACTACACTGCCCAACATAGGGTAGCATACTCCCAAGCTTGGACATTTTCTCTGATGTATACCGCGAAGAAGGACTGACAACCTCTAGCCGCGCGTGTATGGGTTTCGAGGACCTCTACGAGGAGGAGGTGGTGGTGATGGGGTATAAAGAAGCAGTAGCTGGTGCCGTCGCTCCTGGGCTAGCTGTTCCAGTTGTTGTTTTACCTGTTGCAAATACTGCTGGTATTGCTCTGTTTGCTGTTGGTCCTGTTCTATTAGCTGTTGCTCTTGCGCAACCTGTTGCTCTGGTGGTAGCAGAGACAGATCGTACAGTCGCTGTTGCCACTGTAGACCAACCTGCTCAAACTGTTGCGTTCGCTGTGACATCTGCCGTACTATTTCTTGTTGCTGTTGCAGCCGCTCTATTATTTGCTGATACGCTTGTGGAACGGAAGAGCTTGGTGGTAGGCGTCGGGGAGGCGGACGAGGCCGTGGCGGCTGTTGCCGCGGTCGCCCAGAGGAAGGGGGGCCTTGTGGTGGAGGCTGAGAACGACGAGATTGTGGCTGCTGCTGCTGCTGCTGCTGCTGCCGTCCAGAGGAAGAAGGGCCTTGTGGTGGAGGCTGAGAAGGGTCACGATCCATTATGTCGCAGACGTAAAACAAGCACAAAGACAGTTGAGTGAAATAGTTCGGAGCAGTGGACGATTTTCTTTTGAGTGTGTCTGGATATTTATATCTTGAGTGTAATCATTAGGAGAAGATCTGGTTTGGATTAGATGCTGCGATGATACGTCGCGTGGTGCAACATATAAGGGAAGAGTTCATTCGGAGCCATCTCCTACTCGAGTATTGCAAGAGCAGTTTCAACCAGTGTAGCTTGAAGCATAGATTGTTCTTATGCCACCTGCAGGCCATTGTGTCCCATCAATTAGGTAGTGTGATTCTGAATCATAAAACTCTTCAGATAGAAGATGGAAAACTTTGTTGACATTTTGCATGAAACTAACTTAATGGGAAAGCTGGGAAACAGTAAATAGTCACCATTTTATATTTTCAGGCTATGAAAATCTCAACGCCAGTTGGCCCAAAACAGAGATCTCCCAGGCGGGCTAGCATGGTTGATCCCGTAGAAGGACGATGGCCGAGGGACGACTACCCGAATGTGCCAATGGCAGGAGCAAGGTTCCTGTTCATAAATCACTCGTACTGCGATCGACTCTTAAGAGAAATGAATGCTTTAATGTTCAGCCTGCCGTGCACATCTGAAGCGTTTCCCAGCCTAGGTAGTTGAACTAAACGTCAAGAAGTGGTTTGGCAGATCCTTCCAAATCCCATCCTGTGTCTGCTGGCACCGAGATGATCTAACATGTCCTCGTGAGTAAAAGATAGGTGCAAATCAACAATATAGGTCGGTCACTCACTACTATTAGTGTGGTTAGGTGGCCAGACCAACTCAGGAGTGTTTTTGTTGTACGCTTAGCCACCTACCTCGAGTTACGATAACTAAAAGCATCAACTCCATATGCTGTATTATAAGAACATTATGTAGGCGCATGGACCTACAGTGGCTATCATTATCCCCTCATCCCCTTGGCTAGCTAGAGTAGAGGTGCTGAGACGTCATCATCTGCACGTTGAATCGTGATATCACTCCTTTGGTGATTTTGATGCATACATGTTAACTCGCCAACTCAAATTTCTTACCATGTTACATCGTCTGCTCTTTCGTTCTGCTGTTGTAAGATCTTCCTTTTCATCTATTGTTCTCAAATCTTCCTGTACTACTGTGACTGCTCGTGCCATGTCTACCCAGGCTCGAACCAACGACGACCTGAAGGCTTCGAAGCTCTTCGACGTCTCTCACATCACAGCTCTGGTCACAGGCGGCGGTACTGGGATTGGATTGATGATCACTCAGGCGTTGGTCAGCAATGGCGCCAAAGTGTACATCACGGGCCGAAGAGAAGAGGCGTTGGAAAACGTGGTAAAGCAATATGACACGGGACCCGGAAAGGTCGTTGCGTAAGCAACCCTCCACGAACCGTAATGGGAATGCAGAGGACTCCAGTAGCTTATCTCAATAACATTCAGGCTTCCAGGAGACATCACTCAAAAATCAGAAATCACCCGTCTAGCTAAGGAAGTTGGCGACCAAGAGCCAAGTGGAATACATCTGCTGGTCAACAATGTGCGCGCAGCCTCTGATGCCGGCGCAGGCTTCTTCACACGGAGTCAACTGACTCAATTTAAATAGGCCGGCATAGCTCGTGATGACCCCACCAAATATTCCAGTCAAGGTCAACCCGACATGAAATCTGCCAGCGCCATTTCAGAACACCTCCTCCAGTCTGAATTTGACAACTGGTCTTCCACCTTCGAAACTAACGTGACTGCACAATACTTCATGTCCGCTGCTTTTGTTCCTCTCCTCTCGCGCGCCAATGAAAACACAAAAGGTTATGTTTCCTCCATCGTCAACGTTGCCTCTATCTCCGGAGTTATGAAGGGCAGTTCAGGAGGCCAATTCGCCTATGCAGCTAGCAAGGCTGCTTTCATCCACTTGACGCGCATGCTGGCAACGACGCTCACGGAGACGAAAATCCGAGTGAACTGTATTGCGCCCGGCCTGTTTCCGAGCGAGATGACAACGGGAGAGAGTGATGACAAGCAGAAGAGTCAGATTGATAAGAAGCTGAGCAATCCTGCTGGAAGACCGGGAAATGATGCCGATATGGCGGCTTGCATTTTGTACCTTGCAGGTCCTGGCGGGTTGTTCTTGAACTCACAGGTGATCTATCCGGACGGAGGGAATATACTTGTGCAGCCCGCTGCGACGTAGGTGTCTGCAAATATATTGGTTTCGGCAAAGACAATGGAATGATCAACCTGGCCACATCCAGTGCTGCTTGCAGGTAGATGGTTTGTCCAGAATCTGTAATTCTGTCATCGGAGCCAACTAGTTAGATATGCCTGATCAACCGGATTAGGCATATCGCAACTGTGAAGAAGCAATAGGCGAAAGATTGTAGTGGCAGTAAGCCAGCCGAGGAAGATGTGTCAGGTCGTCGTCATAATCACCATCACCATCATCCTGGCTAGGTGTTGGTTAGTAACATGGGAACCCTGAAGATCCTGAGCCTGGAGACGAGCATCAATCCATAGATCCTGATCATAGCGCCCACCACAAAGCATCGCATTGTTTCGAAATCTGCATCAGACTGGGGGCAAAGATCGTGGCCGATTGCGTCAGAACCGAATATAGCTCAATTTCGCAGGTCGAGAAGCTATACTGTGACAGAAGGTGGTTGAAAGACTTACAGGGAGTACGCAGGCAGATCTAGCTGTCGGAATAACTACGTAGTAAGTCAGATTTGATCTATTTCGGTTTGATCCTGGACAACGCTCGCAATAATAGCAGTACTTGAGAAATTGCATCTTCGGACACGTTCTGCCATCATTATTGACAGAACAGCCGCTGTGAAGAGGAGCTTTCTCCCTCGATCCCGCATTTGTACCTCAATAGCCGGACTGCTAGTTAGTCGTCAAGGCATGATGGCACAAGTCGTGGCCGTTGGAATGCCGCATGGTCGTACCAAAGCGGCCATAATTTTTGCTACCAGCTGGCCGCAACCAAGTCTTAACCGGAAACTGAAAGCAGCCTTGGCAGCAGCTTGACTCGACCGCGCAAAAGGAGTTCTGAAGATATTAACAACTGCCTTTCGCCGTCGTGCTCCACTCCCAGCGTGCCGCAAAACCCTGCTGTAAATTACTAGTGCTGGTCAAATCCATGAGCACCCGAGTGTGCTCCAGGCGGAGGAAGCGAGTCGCGGAATAGGAGCAAGATGGGAAACGAGCTGGATGGTAATGCGGAGGAAACAGAACCTCTCACCAAGAAGGAATCTTCAACCACGCCGTCTGAACGCCACTCACAAGATTCCCTGACCTCCATCTCTACGACGTCTCTCGTCCTCGAGCAACTGAATACCACTTCACACCAACATGGCGGTGTGCGTAAGGGCAAGCCGACCCATGACTTTGAATACAGAGACAATGAGGAGGACATCGAGGCACCAAGATTTATGCGCCCTGCGGGCAAGCCTCTTTCGAGAGGAACTAAACGTATTATCTGGTTGGTCGTGGTGATTGCCGTTGCGGGTTGGGCTCTTGCCCTCGGTTCATTCTTGGTCAATGGCACCTACAAACACGCTTCAAAGCTGGCATATGACCACGAAACACCGTCCAAAAGCTCCGGAAGGAAAGTCACATTGGATCAGGTGATGAGTGGACAGTGGTACCCTCATCGTCAGGAAATTTCGTGGATCCGAGGTGCAGACGGTGAGGATGGGTTGCTGCTGGAAAAAAATCAGCCTGGCAAGGACTATCTTGTGGTGGAAGATGTGAGAAGTCGGCGTGGGGACTCCAATGCAATTGCCAGCAAGACGCTTGTACGGATGGGAGCTTTCGAAGTCAATGGCAAGAATATCTCTCCGGATCAAGTCTGGCCCAGTCCGGATCTGAAGTCTGTCTTGGTCATGTCGGGGTTTCAAAAAAACTGGCGACACTCTTTCACTGGTTATTATTGGATATTTGATGTGGAGACACAAGGAGGCCAACCCTTGGATCCTCTTCACCCGGATGCTCGGATCCAGCTTGCTTCATGGTCACCCACTTCAGATGCAGTCGTCTTCACAAGGGACAATAATATGTTTATCAGAAGTCTGGTGTCTGGAGAGGTAAAACAAATCACCACAGATGGTGGTGAACAGCTATTCTACGGTGCCCCAGACTGGGTGTATGAGGAAGAAGTGTATCAGACCAATAGCGTAACATGGTGGGCCAAAGATGGCAAGTATATTGCTTACCTCCGCACCAACGAGTCAGATGTGCCCGAGTATCCTGTCCAGTACTTCCTGTCTAGACCCAGTGGAGAGAAACCTGCTCCGGGCCTTGAGAATTATCCCGAAGTGCGCCACATCAAATACCCCAAAGCTGGCGCCCCTAATCCTACGGTTGACCTAGAATTCTACGATGTCGAAAGGGACCAGGTCTTCTCGGTGGATATTGCGGGAGGATTTGCTGATGACAATCGTCTGATCACTGAAATTGTATGGGCCGCTTCGAACCAGGTACTCGTCCGGGAGACAAATCGAGAGAGTGACACGGTCCGAATCGTCCTCATAGACGTCAAAAGTAGGACTGGAAAGGTTGTAAGAACGCAAGATGTGGCAGGCTTGGATGGAGGTTGGGTAGAACCTTCACAGACTACTGCGTTCGTGCCAGCTGATCCAGCGAATGGGCGACCGCATGATGGCTATATTGACACCGTTATCTACAACAACTATGATCACCTGGGATACTTCTCTCCTCTCGATGCTTCTGAGCCAACCATGCTGACCGAGGGTGATTGGGAAGTCGTGGAAGCACCTTCAGCGATTGACCTCGAGAACAACCTGGTCTACTTTCAAGCCACGAAACAAGCTCCGACCCAACGACATATCTATTCAGTCCACTTGGACGGCACCAACCTCACAGCAGTCGTACCAGACGATAAATCTGCCTACTACTCAGCGTCTTTCTCTACGGGCGCGGGCTATGCTCTGATTACTTATCAAGGCCCTGGCATCCCCAAGCAAGAACTTATCAGCACCCCATCCAACGAGCAGGCATATCAAGAAACCGTTGAGCAAAATTCCGACCTCGCCAAAATGGCTGCCGAGCACGAACTTCCCCACGAAATCTACCAAAACGTAACCATCGACAATTTTACCTTGCAAGTGGTGGAAATCCGCCCTCCACATTTTGACGAAAACAAGCAGTATCCCGTCCTCTTTCACCTCTACGGTGGTCCCAACTCCCAATCCGTCGACCGAAATTTCAATGTCGACTTCCAATCCTACGTCGCGTCCAGCCTGGGCTATATCGTCGTGACTGTCGACGGCCGAGGCACCGGCTACATTGGCCGCCAAGCGCGCTGCATCATCCGCGACGACATCGGTAAATACGAAGCGCGCGATCAAATCGAGACGGCCAAGATGTGGGCGGCCAAGAAATATGTTGACGCAGAGCGAATGGCAATCTGGGGCTGGAGTTACGGCGGCTTCATGCCCTTGAAACCCCTGGAAGCCGATGGCGGGCGAACATTTAAATATGGCATGGCTGTTGCGCCTGTCACTGACTGGCGCTTTTATGATTCTGTATACACCGAACGGTATATGCACACACCGCAACATAACGCTCAGGGTTATGACTCGTCAGCCATCAGCAACATGACCGCCCTGTCCCAAAATGTACGATTTTTGGTCATGCATGGCATCGCAGACGATAACGTGCACATGCAGAGCACTTTAACATTGATCGATAAATTGGATTTGGCCAGTGTGGAGAATTATGATGTTCACGTCTTTCCGGATTCGGATCACAGTATCCGATTTCATAATGCGAATCGTATGGTCTATGAGCGTAAGCATTGCCGTCTTTACTTTCCCTCGCAAAGCTCCCACGGACTCTCTGGGTTGAAGCTAACAAATATGTATAGGATTGAGTAATTGGCTGATCAATGCATTCAATGGCGAGTGGTTGAAGACCGAGGACCCGACCCCAGCCCAAAGAGATGGAGTTGATGGTAAAAGAGGGAGAAGCGAGTTCAAGAGAGCATTGGAAAGGGAAAACCTGCTGCTTTTGCCTGACTGATCCGTGTGTGCACGTATGAAGCATACATGTTATGCAGTGAATATAAATCGGGGTGGGGAGGGGGTTAAGGAGAACCGCATTATATTTGGTGGCGTTAAATAGAGCGAGAACCACTGCATGGCTCTAAAGGGTGCTCAAAATGGACTGGGTGGGTATGATATTTGAGTTGTCAGGCCAAGCAGGGGTTTGGGGTTGTACTTCTGGTTGTACTTCTGATTGTACTTCTGGTTGTGGCCTGGCGTAGGTTTAGCGGTCTGATTGGCTTACTCAGACCAGCGAGGAAGAGTGCTTGCGTGCGATGTCTTCTTTCTGATCTCATCCTTCTTCTAATCTTTTGTTCTGACCTCCTTTCCTCTTCTGACTTCATCCCTCTTTCTGTTCTCTTGCCTCTTATAATCTCTTTCCTATTTCGACCTCTTTCCCTTTTTGACTTTTTCCTTCTCCATCCCGACGTACGTAGATCCAAAACAAAACCAAAACAAACATATTCCTGAAGTTCTTTTTGGTTAGAAGGAAAGAAGAAAACGAAAAAGCTGGGGATATGAGCGCCGCGTCTCAATACCGATATGATCTCCCCCCCCTTTTACCGCCTCCGATCTCTCCCTCCGCCTTTGCTCTGCTGGTTCTTGTGATTTGGATTTGACAGATTTGGTGGCACTGATGGCATGGACGGTGGACTGGTTAGATAGGGGGGAAAATCAAATCGCCTGGTTTGTCGACGCGGGGATGTGGTTGTTTAGGTAGGTAGGTAGGTAGGTAGGTCTGTGCTTGTATATGTTACAACTTACGTGCGTATTTGCTGAGAAAATCGCAAGGGAGACGAAGAAGAGCCAAAAATACACAAAGAAAGAAAAGGGAAATATGATTTTTTTTCTCCCTTGGGAAGTTTTTCAGGGGGGACGATATTTCTCCCTCTTCGTCACCATGCGCGGTCATTTCCTTTTTTTTTTTTTTTTTCT